ACGCCGCCGTCGCCGCCTGGTCATTCTCGTCGCTTTTGCCCAAGCTCGCTGCGACGCTTGCTCTCTCTCTCTCTCGCTCATACACTCGATGTTGTTACGCTTGAGCTACTTTTGAGAAAAAACAAGTTTTCGCTGCGCGCAGGATCCGGCTCCCCAACAACACACACACACACATAGACGGAAAGTGCACTTCAGCTCCTGTTTTACGCCTCGCAGTCAGTTTTTGGTCCTGTGCGCGCACGGCCTCTCGCGTCACGCTTTGATCCTGCCGTTGCCTCATTGCCTCGTTTCTCCTGCTGCCTCGTCCTCTTTTCCTGTCGTCCTATCACCCATGCCACACATACCATAGGCGTTGCCCAGCTAATGACATGTTGTAAATTATATATTCCCCATGCTCTCCCATGTTTCTCTCGTCTTTTGTCTCATTCTTCTTGTAATTAGTTTGGTTTCGCTTTTTGCGCTGCGTCTGCTTAAATTCTCTATATTTACAACACTTTTGTGTTTTTGCCCTGTTTTTTTTTTTAATTTGGTGGGGATTACATCTTGTTAGGCAAGTTGTGCAAAGTTGCTCGAAAGTTGTTCTGACACTTTCTGCATATTTTCAATTACCTTCAGCTGTTCAGTAGATCTTCTGTGTACACAGTGTATATTTTTTGTTGTATTTGTGGTCAGCTTTAATTTAATTAAAAAAGGAAATCGAGTAGGTTTGGAATGGCTTTGTTGTTTGCTGCGGTTTGAGGAGGGTCCTTATGGAAAAGAAGAATTTATTGCATCTTTTTAAATGCGTGCTTGTGAAATGTGCTTTGGTTTCTATTTTACAAACTGTTAATAACCTCAATATTCATTTCTATGACTTCAAACTTACATAAATTTCTCCTCATCATGAGCAACATTCTGCAGAAGCCTTAAAATGTCCTTTTCAGATTTCAAAACAATCGTAATTTAGTCAAATCTGAACCAATTATTGTTGCTGAGTGCATTTTAGTTGTGGTTTTTTCTCTAGATTCAGAATAAATGGATAAAGTGTTTTTTTCTCAAAATTTTAATTGAAATTCTAGAAAACATTGCACTTTCCACTGACCTGACTTTGTCAAGAATTCAACGATTCCCAAAAGCCATGTCTCCTTGATCGATTCTTGAACTCATGAATGCTTCAAATCAAATTCTTAAAATTATATTTAACTGATATTCATGCTTGAGGTCGTCTTCCTTCAACTTAGCTGTCAAGCATTATGTTCAGCGACAGTTCGAAAAGGAAGTATCCAAAACGCAATTGAAACCTGTGTGTAATTGAGCCCCACATCAACAGCAACAGCAAGAACAACATCAGCAACATCGCCAGCTACTTAAGAGCTGCGATTTGACGTTTTAAAATAGAAATGATTTTCGTTGTTCCCGGAAACTTAAAAATGTATTTTGAAAGTGGCAATGGAAACCACTCAAGTAGCAGTTGAGAAACTCTCTCTCCCTCTCTCTCTCTCTCTCTCTCTGTCTGTGTGTGTGTATTTACATGAGTTGCAAGTGATCGATATCGAGGGAAAGCAGTTCACCCAGCTTAATGTTAAACCTCGCACGTAAATCTCACGCTAAATGCAAGGGCTAAAAACAAAGCGTAATTATTTGTAAGCCAGGCACGGATTCAACTCGCACTCCTGCTCCTGCTTAGCTAACTAGCTAGAGAGAGCGAGAGTGAGATAGAGAGAAGGAGAGAGAGAACGCTTGAAGCATGGCAAATTTTGCATTTGCTGCAGCTCGTTTTTGGCATTATTATTGCTCACCAAATAAAATCTATTGTTCGCAAAGAAACAACTGCCGCTTTTCCTCCATTCGCATTTTCCACACACACACACACACACACATATATATATATCTGTATAGATGTGTGTACATTTATATTTGTATATCATTCATTGTCGTTCGTCCTGTCAAACTTGTTTGTGCTCTCGTTCTCTCTTCTCGCTCACTTGGTTTTCCTTTCCTTTTGCACATTACGCTTTGGCCCCGTCATTCGCATTAAAAGGACAACGCTCTATGTCTGCTTGTGTTTCTCGCTCTGTGTGTGTGTTTATTCGCTGCTGCCTGTTTGCGTCGCAGTTGGCGTCGCTGTCGGCTCCGCTTCGCTGCAGCAGCAGCAGCAGCGCTGTTTCGTCCTCGCCAGGCTTCGTCGTTGTCGTTTCAGTTTACGCTCGCAGCTCCGACAGCTCAGAACATGTTGCTGATGACATCCGCGCTCGTTGCCGTGTGTGTGTTTATTAGCAGCAAATAAATGTTATATATGTATATATATACAAACATAAATATATCAAGCAACAACAACAACAACATCATCATCTTCATCTTCACATTTTCTATTGAGTGCTGCTCCGCCCCCCTTCACACACCCAGCAGCCCCAGCAGCCGGTCTCTTCAAAAACTGACTCAGCAAATGTTGCAGGACAACATTTTTGTATTAATATTCCACAATCAACAGCAACAATAACAAATCGAATGAATTCTTGTGTGTCAAATAAACAACAACAAATTGTGCAATTGTGCAAAAAATAGCGAGCAAAAAAGAAAAAAAGAGAAAGAGCCAAAAGAGCATAATACTAAAAGAAAAAGGAGAGCGCGCGCTTAAGCAAAAAATAAAATAATAAAAATTGAAAAAAGCAAAAGCTAAAAAAAGTGTAGCCCACAAAAAAGTGAACAACAAAAGAAAGGCTTTTTTGCATTACCAAAGAGCGATAAATACAAAACACAAAGCAAAATGTGCAATAAACTGGCAAAATAAAACATAAAAAAACTTTGGGATTAAAACAACAACAGCAAAAAGAGTAGACGAAAACGCAACGAAGCAGCGCACACAAGTGAGTCAAAAACAAAAAAAAGAAAGAATTTTCAACTTTTTTTTCTCCAACATACACAATGCATATTACTTATACATATAAACCAAATGGCACACACACACACACACAAATATATATATATAATATATATGGCAGTTGCGCTCTCTTTTTCTCTCTCTCTCGCGCTCTGTTCCTCTTCGTTTTACTCGTTACATTTGGGGTCTCGTCCTGTTTGTCGTCCTGGCCGCAATGCTTCTGTCTCGCTTGCGCTCATGGCGCGCACTCGTTCCTATTCCTCGTCGTCATCGTCATCGTCTCTCGTCGTTGTTGCCTTCGTCTCTCGTCGGGTGGTGGTACAGTTTTCTGCGTAGACCCAAAATTGCGTAAATTTTCTTCCATGTAGTTTGCTCGCATGTCTCGCACGGCGTTGTCGTCCTCATCATCGTTTTGTCGTTTGTCGTCCTTGTTCCTGCTGCTCTGTCGTCGTCCTGTTTATCGTCGCAAACTTACAATTTGTTTATTTGTTCATCATCAATTTTGCTAAACATTTTGAAAGTTTTCACATACAAAATAAAAAGGTTTGTACGATTGGTTTTCCTTTTGTATTCTTATTGGGCGTGTTTTTTTCACAGCGTATCCTTTTTGCTCTGCGCCATTTTAATTGGTGTCCTTTTTTATGTTTTTCGTATGTATGTGCAGCTGAAGGGATTAGTTTGACTCTTGCGCTCACCATTTGAATACCAACAATTAGCATTAAATTCACCTATCCACAATTATCTGTAACTGTATCTATTTTATTTGCCTCGACTGATTCATTTTATTCAACATCAAGTTTTCTATACACAATTTGTGTGTACATACAATATATATATGTCTGTATGTATGTATCGCAAATAACCCAGAAAGCGACTCAATGAAAATATTACATATTTTTGGCCTACGTGCCGATGAGATATTTTCAAAAAGGAGCTCATTTGAATATTTTGGAATTGCAAAGGAGAGCCAGGTGAACTAAAGAGATGTACTAGGTATAATAAATATTTTATCAGCAATAAAATTAGCTAATCAAAAGATATTATTTCTTAATTGAAGTTTGGTTTATTAAGCATAATTAAGATTAGACTATGTACACAGGTACAACAGAATACAGATCTTAATTGCAGCTAAAGACTCAGTCTTAAGTTCGAATATTGACATTTGTTAAAATTATTATAGTTTTTTATAAATAATTAAACAATATGAATTAAAAATTTGATGTTGAATTTATCACAATTTTTATGAACTAAATATAACAATTGCAGTAAAGAAGGAATGAGAAATACTTATCTTGAAAGGCTCGTGTATTCATTGAGCTCTCAATAAGAATTCTTAAATGATTTCTAAGATTAATTACTATTTAGCTGAAAGCTGTTAGTCTTTTAGTTTAAGTACTAATCACATTATATTTTAATAATACAAAAGTAAGAAAAATAAATATTAGTTAAAATAAGCCTATAGTTTATGTCAATGAACAACTAATCAAAGATCTTTTCTGGCGGCTATCAACAAAATTTAACAACATTTTTGAACTACTACAATATTTTAACCAAATTCAACAGCTTTTCAGCGCAATACAAAGGAAAATTAAACGAATTAAATATATAATATAAGAATATATGAAGAAAACAATAAAAATAGATGTAAGCTAATCAAAATATAAGATCAATGCACCTTTCTGCGTCGAACCATAAAAACTGGCTGCGCAACAACAACAACAACAACTGAAGCAGCAGCAGTGGCAGAAGGGGCAGTGTCAGCAACTGCCTCTGGACTGCATATCCTGCCAGCCTCTAGCGACTGCCTGCCTTGGCCTGAGCCCTGCCTGCCTGCCTGCTGTTGTTGTGTTCTTGTGTTGTTGGCTGTCCCATTGAAAAAGGGCGCTCGAATATAAAAGTTGCAGCTGTTCCTCGTACCTCAACTGCTATTTGCCTTAGCAACAACAACGGCAGCAGGAGTAGGGGCACGGCACGCATTCATGCCACAAAAACCAAAAAAGAAAGAGTCTTAGAGTTAGTGCTGAGCATCTGCGCTGATCGCTCTCCGATCGCTGCTGCTGTTTGTTAAGCGGCATTTGTGCACTCCCTCTCTCGCTCGCTCTCTCTATCACAATCTCCCCTTCTCTCTCTTTCTCTTTAGCAATTATAGATAAGCGAATGTGAATAAAAATGTCTGATATACCGCGCATTATGGTATTCCGTCCCAGCTGGGATGAGTTCAAGGACTTTCCCAAATATGTTGCCTATATGGAATCGCAGGGTGCCCACAAGGCCGGACTGGCCAAAGTTGTACCGCCAGCCGAATGGGTGCCACGTCGCAGTGGCTATGCAGATTTGGATGCATTAAATGTGACAATACCGGCACCAATTTGTCAGGTGGTCACCGGCAAACAGGGCTGTTATCAGCAAATCAATATACAAAAGAAACCGTTGACGGTTAAACAATTTAGCGAATTGGCCAGCACCGAACGCTATGCAACGCCCAAACATTTCGATTTTGAGGATCTGGAGCGTAAATACTGGAAAAATATCACCTATGTGGCGCCAATTTATGGCGCCGATGTCAGCGGCAGCATCACCGACACCGATCAGGATGTAAGTCATCATCGTTATGGATATAGATATATGTAGTTGGTGTATTTGATTTTATGGCTTGTTGTTGTTCTCGCACTCGCAGAGCTGGAACATTAATCGACTGGGCAGCATTTTGGATTTTGTCAACAAGGACTATAATATCCAGATCGATGGTGTTAATACGGCATATTTGTATTTTGGCATGTGGAAAACGACATTCGCCTGGCACACAGAGGACATGGACTTGTATTCAATTAACTATTTGCACTTTGGTGCGCCCAAAACGTGGTACGTTGTCCCGCCCGAATATGGCAGACGGCTGGAGAAGATCGCCAATCAGTATTTTCCGGCCAGCTATAAGAATTGCAATGCGTATTTGCGTCATAAAATGACATTAATATCGCCACAGATACTTAAACAGCACAATGTGCCCGTCAGCAAGGTAATAATTGATGGTGAATTAGATTTTATCTATAAAGTGTCGTCGAAATTGAAACCTCTTTGGGGAAGTACAAAAATGTTGACTGCAATTTTTAATGCTGCTTCCACTTTTTTATATAGCTGATTAGCTGTGACTACAAATTGGTTTTCTTTGCCAAGCTGGATTTGCTTTCAAAAGGGACCACTTTTGATTATGTGTTAGGTTTAACAGTAATTAAATAATGACTGTTTATTGCATAAATAAAACCTTGTAAATTGATTCTCAGAATTTGCGTAAATTCTATATATACTACTAATATAACTAAAATTTCTAAATGGAACCTGAAAAGCTACTTCACATTCCCTTACAAAGAGGAACTCAATTCGAAATCGGCACCAAAATCAAGTCGATCGCCTCATACTTAACTCTTTTGAACACAACACACAGATCACACAGGAATCGGGAGAGATAATGATAACGTTCCCGTTTGGCTATCATGCTGGCTTCAATCATGGCTTCAACTGTGCCGAGTCCACAAATTTTGCAATGGAACGCTGGATTGAGTACGGCAAGCGTGCCACGCAATGTACCTGCAGCAATGACATGGTCAAAATCTCAATGGACACATTCGTGAAGCGTTTCCAAAGCGAACGCTACGAGGCCTGGCTCGAGGGACGCGATCTCGGCCGTCATCCCGAGGATGCGAGCAATGCGGTGCCAACAGCGGCGCCTCTGCCCCCACATCTCGATGTGCTGCTGTGTGATAAGAAGTGGGTTTTCAAATAGCACAAAAAAAAACAATGGGTTTAAATATTAACAATCTCTTGCAACTCTTTCTTCCCCCCCCAATCTCTTCTCTCTCGCTCAGAATGAAGAAGCAATGCAATCCCACCAAGGCGAAGAGCTTCAAGGAGCGCAATCCTGATTTGGATTTGGATGAAATCCAACAGAATCCCAATGTGCCCGACGATGTCAAGGCCATGCTAAAGGAGAGCGTCCTCACCCTGACTGAAGAGGAGGCCGATTTTGTGCCCGAGGACACGATGAGTCTGCAGAGTCCGGCGGATTTTAAAACGAAGCAGGAGCTGCTCGAATACATGGACGATGGCACTGGTGAGACACAGTCTAAATGACTCAAAACAGCTTTTGCTTATTATCTTGCTCTCTCTCTCCCCCTCTCGCTCTCTCTCTGCTGGCATAGAAGATGATGATGAGGAGGAGGATTTTAAGCGGCGCAAACATAAGCGCAAATATGATGCTGACTACGATGATGATTGGCTGGCGAGCCAGCGACGTACCAGCTCCAGGAACAGCAGTCGTGGTCGTAGTCGTAATAAAGATGATCGCTCCATATCGCCAGCATCCTCCACATCCACTTCGTCGACATCACGGGGAGCGCGAGGAGGCGGTTCGCGCAACAAAGCGAATTCAACGCCCCGCAAAACGCCGGCGAGACGAAAAAAGGACACATCAACAACTGATTCGCCGACCGCAGCAGCAGCAGCAACAGTTGCTGCAACAGCAGCAGCATCAGCAGCAGCAATCGCTGATAGCAGCAGCAGCAGTCACGTTGGCGCAGGTGAGCGCAACAGCAGCAACAGCAGCATCAGCAGCAGCAACAACTGCAGCAGCAACATTAGCAACAGCAGCAACAGCAACAATAATCATTGCAACAACAACAACAACGCCACAGTCACTACAACTAGCATAGTCACATAAGAATCACAGTCACACCTAATTGCCACCCACCCACCCATCCATCCATCCAGCCCTTCCACAGCTATCTCTATTCCCTCCACCCACTGTTAACTAACATTAAAAGAAAACCCCCAAAATTTTATGTCACAAAAAATCCCCACATTTTCCTATATAGTCGCTCTTATTGGTGTGTCAACGTCAACGTCGTCGTCGTCTTTTAGTTTCTTTTTCGTGTTTTATAAGTCGTGAAAAGCTGTGTCCTATTTTGTAAGCGCCTGACAAAAAAAAATATATGAGAGCACGCTATATATATATATATAAAGAAAAATAACTATATGCTAAAAACTAACCAAAAACCAAAACTGTTTTACTAAAAATACTTGCAAAAAAAGAACCAAAAAAAAAGAAAAAGAGGCGCAAATTTCGTTTCTTGGTTGGGCTTCAGTTTCAGTTGAGCTTCGCTTCGCTTCGTTCCTTCGTTCGCTTTGCCTATACATATACTGCTCCTATATATATAACTATATATATATATGTATATGCGTATATGTGTGTGTGTGTGTGTGTCCTGTGTATGTCGCTTCAATAATTCCCAACGCTAACATGCCATCATATAACAACTACGTCAACCAACATCGGATGGCAACAACAACAACAAAATCAACAACAAATCCCAACACTTTATTTTTGCACATGTAATACAAAATTTCCAACGAATTTTTACAGATGCCAAACGCAGACTCACCGAACAACAACAGCAACAACAACAACAGCCCCAGCTGCAATTTATGCAACAATCGCGCAAATTTGAGGGAAAGATACCAAAACTAAGTCAACAGCAAAGCGCAAGTGCAGCAGCAACTGCAGCAGCAGCAACAACAACAACAACATCATCATCATCATCTAGTCAGCAGCAACAACAAAAAATTGTCTGCATCAACATGTTGCCAGCGGCGAATACACTAAATGGCATTCCACAGCAACAACAACAACAGCAACAACAATATACCAGCACCGATGGCAATGTCTATCAGCTGCAAAACGAAATACTCTGTGATGCAAATGGTCAGGCAACAACAACAGCAACGGCCACATATCAAACAACGGCCGCTGCTGTTGCCAGCAGCAACAGTAGTCCGCAACAGCAACACCAACATCAGCAGCAGCAGCAGCAACATGTTGCTGGTAAGTTTTGACTCCTTTATCAAATTTGTTTGTCGTTTTTTTTGGTAGTTGTATATTTGCTTTCGATTTTGTGCTCGTTTTTTTTGTTGGTTTTCCTCTTTTTTAATTGATTAGCTACTCACTCAATCACTAACAACTAATTTCGTTTATTTGTTTATTGTTTTCATATTGTATTTAACAACAACAATTAAGCGCTCGACTCTCATCGCATTATTATCAAGCATCTCAATACCATTTTGTAGACAATTGTTTCGTTTATTTGATTTATGTTTTTCTGTTCATTTCTAACAATTTTTGTGCCAAATCAAACTGCAGCTAACAACAACCACAAGAAGATGAAATAAAGTGAAATTCCATTCAAATTTGATTTATTTTTTTATTATATATGTTTATGTTCAATTAAAAAATTGTGCTGGTCCTCCATTTGCGGTGTTTTGTTTTGAATTAAAAGAAAATTGATATAAATCAAAAACAAACAAAAATTCAGTCGCAAACCGATTTCATCCACACGACACCTGTTCAAAAATCAATGTGCCACAAAAAAAAAAAAAAAGGATCTACAATAATGCATCTCAACCCAATAACAAATCGCTTATCAGTTCGTTTACACTTCAAATAACTCGTACATAAAAGAAAATAATAATACAAAAAAACCAAACCAAACTCTTTGCTGAGCATATTTTTCTTGCTGTCTCATTTCTTTTTTTAATATATGTACATAAATGCCAACAGATACCGAATTATAATAAATACTGAAACATATAAATAAATGCACAAATTAGGCCCAAGCAAAACATTGAATATATTTACGATATATATATGCATATTATGACTGATGACTGATGATTATCAATAATTGTGCAAGGCGCATTTGACAAAAAGGCTCAAAACTTATTTATTTTTGCTATTTCTATTTTATTTTACTTAGCGTATGTATTTAGTTGTTATATTTATTTAAATTGATTTTTAGCTTAGCTTTTAAGTTACTTCAGCTGATCACAATCGAATTTTAAGTTGATATCCTTTGTGAACAGCTTAATTGAATTTTTAACATTTTGCAATTATTATTATTAGCTATTATTAAATTGGATACTGTTTTGTAAACATCTGTAAAATGTATGTTATTTTTTTTATTAATTTCTAGAGTTTTATTTTTTAATTAGTATCAAGTCTTTTTTTACGATTTGCAACTGTATGAAAACATATATACTTACATAATTCGTAGCAATTAAGTAAAGACACAAAATCAAGCGACAAACGAATATTAAATACAAAAAAACCAATTCACTCACCATTTTTATTATATTATTCTATAACTTTGTAATCGTAGCAGACAGCTCTATCTATATAGAGACTGTATAGTCTTTGATGATTTCGTGTAGCTAACATTAATATATATATATATATAAATAAATATATATATATATATATATACATTTTGCACAGCATTTCTTTGATTTTTGAGTGAATTGTTGAATTACGATTTCGAATTGATTTATTGATTATTTATGCAAATATTACATTCAAACACATCTTTTATATATATTGAACCAAACTCGAATATGTACTTTCCAATCAATATAAACAAAAGACAATGTGGTCACAACTATTAGTTCGTCCTCCATCCTGCACACGAACGCCAACACAAATGGAGCAACGGATCAGCAGCAGCAACAACAACAACAACAGCAGCAGCAGCAACAACCCCAATATCATTATATAACTACAACTGGAGAGGACGGCCAGACGCCGACAACAATAGTCTTTGAGAATTATAATGGTGGTATGCCAGCGACGGCGGTTAGCGCCGCAGCAGCAACACCCATCAGCAATGATATTGCTGCTGCAACGGCTACAGCGACGGCAACAACAACAACGACAACAGCATTGGTCAACACAGATGGCACAATCATTGAGTTCGATGGCAGCACCTACGAGGAATATCATGTGCTCAAAAGTGAGAATGGCAGCAGTGATTGTCTCAGCAATGGAAGCAGTGCTGTTGCCGCTGACATCATCAAGTATGAGCCACAGCATGTGGGCGAGGATGAGGAGTTGCTCGAGGAGGATGAGGAGGAGGAGAGTGGACTGCGGGTGAAATACGAGGAGCAGAGTCTCGAGCATGACGACCACGATTTCGAGGAATATCAGGTGATCAAAGCCGAGGTGGAGGCAGAGGCAGCCGAACAGGCAGCTGGCACAACCAGCTACACCATAACCAGCCACGACGACCAACACCAACACCAACAGCAGCAGCAGCAACAACAACAGCAGCAGCAACATCAACAGCAGCAGCAACATAATCAGGGCATCAATGATGCAATGCCAGGCATGTTGTCAAAAGCGGCAGCAGCGAAACAGAAAAGGAAACGCAAAACGCGCGTCGTTGCCGAGGACGAGCAGGGTGAATATCTGGAGAAGATGAGTGTGCGTGGATTGGATATTGCACGCTACGAGCACATCATCGATGGCATTGCCTATTGTCTCGTCTGTGCCAAGAACGATATTTTCAAGACGTTCAAGAACAAGTACAGCTTCCAGCGGCACGCGTATCTCTTCCATGAGGGTCAGAATCGCAAGATATTCGCCTGCCCCATTTGCAACAAGGAGTTCTCGCGACCCGACAAAATGAAAATGCACAAAAAGGATAAGCATGGCGATGTGCCCATGCCGCCCAGTTCGGCGTCGAGTACGCCACAAAAAGCGGAAACAACGGGCACAACAACACCGGCCGCCAAAAGGCCGCGAACTTCTCGAACACCCCGCGTGCGCAAACTGAAGGCGGGCGATGCGGCGGCGACTCCAGCGAAAAAGCGACTAGCCCAAATCGATAGTGTGTTGGACGAGGTGCAAAATGCCGATGTGGAGCAACAGCAACAGCAGCAGCAGCAACAACAACAGCAACAGTTGCAGCAGCAGCAACCCGCAACTGCAACGCCGCAGCATCAACAACAATTGCAAACGTTGCCTTCGCTCGACTTTAGTGGCATGATATTGCCAGGTGGTGCACAACTGGCCTTGGCCAATCCTGGCGCCAGCAGTTCGATGGCGCAGCTGCAACGCGGCGGCCAAGCGACAGCGGCACAACAACAAACAGCTCAGCCGACAACAACGACGCTCATCTACTCGAATCAGTTGGAGTTGCAACAGGCGCTGTTGCAGCAACAGTTGCACGGTCAGAGCATCATGATACAGGATCAGGCGGGCAATTTGGTGCCACTGCAACTCGATGGCACACAGACAATATACACAACAGCGCCAGCGCCGCAACGAACACAAACAACCAGCTATCAGACGACAACAACACAGCAGCAACTGCAACAGCAACAACAGCAGCAGCAGCAGCAGCAACAACAGGTTGTCAGCAGTCAGGCACAAACGCAGCCGACACACTACGAGCTGGACAATGTGACATATCTGAGTTCGACAGCAGCGGCAACACCCACACTGCCCAACGACCAACAACAGCAGCAACAGCAACAACAACAACAACAACATGTCATTGGCACCGTGCAAAGCTATCAGATACTGACACCCGATGGCCTGCAGAGCTTCCAGCCGAAACTGGAGCCAACGGAATTGGGGGATCTGTGTCCGTATACGATGAGTGCGACGGCAACGCCACAATATACATTCACAACGCATGCGAGTGCGCAGCCAACGTTAAATGCAAATGCTTTGGATGCCCAAACACAGCAGCAACATCACCAGCAACACCAGCAACAACAACAGCAGCAACAGCAATCGCAGCAATTGCTGCAACAGCATCAATTTGGTCACAATCCGCATCAACAGTTTATGGAGCTGAAGAACGAGCTGTTGATTAAGAGTAGCGATGCTTATACGCTGGATGCGGCCTCCATGTATCATCTGCCCTTCTCGCCCACATCGATGATAAATGCGGTGAACGATGTGAACACCTCATCCCTGCTGGAGACCAAAGAAATTAGGTAAAAAAAACAAATACAGTTGAACTAACTTTATCTCTGCTCTCTCTCTCTCTGTTTCTATGACTATCTTAAATTTATAACTATTGCTACTCGCTACTCGCTACTCGTCTGTTTTAAGTAACTTCTCTTTTAGTGTAACGCGCTCTCGTTTGTTTTTAGACTCTCTCTACATTCTAGTACTCGCTCTCTCTCTCTCTCTCTCTGTTTCTCTTAAACTCTCCCTTTCTCTTTTGTTGCGTAGTCAGCGAGCGGCGCTGCGTTGTTGCAGTTGCTGTTTCGTTTCCATTTTGTTTCTTATTTGACATTTTTTTTTAGTGTTGAACAACGTCGCGCCAGCTACTAAACTCAAAATAACACACTACTTTCGAGACAACAAATATACAAAAATACTATTTAAACAAAAGCACATCAGCCCTAACCATATTTTAGTTTATAATTTCGAGTATTTTTCTCGTAGTTTTCGTTTAAGCATATATATTTATACGATTTAGCCCATATATATTTATATTTTTGATTTAATATGTATTTTTGTAACTCATATTTTAATTCTGTTTAGCTTAGTTTTAATTTACAATTTGTGCATTTATTTACATCAATTTATACAGCATTTATTTGATTGTATTTATTATATTTCACTATTTTCCATACACAAATATGTATAATTTCCGTTTTGGCTTTATTGTTATTGCTTTGGGTTATGTACAGTTCTCCTCAGTGCTCAAAACAAAAAAAAAATCAAAAACAGAAAAGAACACCTTAACATTTTACCATACTGAAGTATATTATATATATGTACATATATATGTATGTATACATTATTTGTTTCATTTCTTTAAACAACAACAAATTTATTATTACAATGTGTTATACTTCAATGCGATTTTGTTCTTTTTTTCTTTCTTTTTCTCTTATTTTATTTTATGTACACAAAAACCAACCCACCAACCAACCAATCAATCAATCAATCAAATCAAAAACTCGCAACTATATAATCAATAATCAAAAACTATATAGCTACGATATATCAGAGGCCGTGCTTCTAGCACTCTGAAAAAAGTCAACGACAGCAAAGAAAAAAATTAAATAAATATACAACTGCAGCCAAAGTACCAAAAAAATAAATAAAAGCAAGAAACTATTGTTTAAAGACAAAAATTAAGATAAAAAATGATATAAAAAAACGCGAGCAAAGCAACGCAAATGGAAGCCATTAACAATGCAAAAGAGCGGCATAAAAAACAAACAAACACTAAATGCATATATAAAATATGTTTTTTTTTTATCATATTTAACGCTTAAATGAACATAATACTCATTAAATTAACAAACCCAAACATTTTACAACACTCAAACACTAACCCATGAGGATAAACACGCATACACTCAAGTACGGTGTGTGTGTGTGTGTGTGTGTCCGTGTATGTGTATGTGTGTGTGGGTGTGTTGGTATAAACACTAAAACAACAACATCAACGAACAATTGTTTGATTAATTTTTGCGCACCTCATCAACATATTTCATTTGCATTTGCATTGTTTTCCAAATCTGAATCTGGACATCATTCACATTCCCATTACTTCATATAACCACAAAAAAAAAAAAAACTAAAACTAAAACAAAATCAAAACAATTATAAATATAAAAATTGGACTTATTAAGTGCAAGGTATGTGTACTTTTTTATTCGCTTTTTTATTTCTTTTATTTTTACTCCTTTGTTTAATTTTTATTTTTCCCAACTCATTGTCCATTATTAACACTTATTAAAGTCTTATTTTTAACGCGTTAACAACATAAAGACATTGGAAAACGAACACAACGTTTTGAATTACGTTTTTTTCTTGTTTAATAATTGATTTAAAATTTAGAAAGAATTTTTTAATTAAAGGAAACATGAACTGGTCTGAAACAGAAATATTAAATTTTAAGAGATTATACTATTCTCCTTTTTATTAAATTCATTTTATTGCCATTCTAAATTACCCAGTTTCCATTTTGACTCATTTTTAAATTACGATCATCATTTTCTGGAACAGAAACTCAATTTTTCTTTATTCTAAGAAATTAAATTATGTTTATTATCAATCACAAGGAATCTGCTATTTTTTTATATGCCTTCAGAATTACATTTCGTTTCATTGTGAATGATATTTATTGAAGTTATCATTCTACCAATTGGATCTCATCTTCCAAGAAAGTGGGATAAAAACGTTTTAAAAGTGTTTCCTTGTGATCTTTTTGTCCTTATTGCACGTTATAAAATCCATTTGTTTTAAACTAACTATTTATAAATTGGCTGAACAATTGGTTGCTTAAACTGAAACTCACCACAGAAAGAAGTCACCTCATGTACATAACACACCACTCACCACTGTTCACATGTACGCTTATGATTTACTAACCCAAAACAAAAAAAAAGAAAACTAAAACTAAGCAAAAAAGTCTTTAAAATTAAGCAAAATGCGAATATGAAATTGTTTTACAATAAAAAAATATATATTTTTTCTTTTTCATTTTTCTACCTTTTTGTTCGCCCGTTGTGTTAATGTTTTGTGTTGTTTTCTCGACAACTTATGATTTGCACACCAACCAAAAATTCATAAACAACAACAAAAACAACAACAACAACATGCATCACCACAACAACAACAACAAAAACAAAAAAACAAACACAGGTTCTTCTAAACAACAACAACAACAAGCATACAACAAGAACAACAACAAGCAGTTCAAAAGGCCATACACACCAAGCAACAACAACCACAACCATCACAACAACAACACTCAGAACAACATGCACAACAACAACAACAAGAACAGCAATGCTGATGATTGGCAGCGTCGCCAGCGCGAAGCGAATCGCATCTATTACGAGGAGATTGTCGTGAAACAGGCCAATTCACACACTCTCTCGCGCAACAATATCAAGAGCAACAGTTGCTATCGTAACAGCAACAGCAACCGCAACAGCAACTGCAACAACAGCAACAGCAGCAATCGTAGCGCATCCGCGGTCAGTTTCGTCGACAAATTCGCTGATTTTGTAACACATAACCGTAGCATTTTGAAAAGCAACTGCGTGAAACAAGTGCACAACAATAACACTAATTATAACAACGCTGTCTCATCTCTCATTCCAAACTCTAACAACAACAGCAATGGCAGCAGCAGCAACACCACCACCACCATCAGCACCAGCAACAGCAACCACAACAACAACCACAACAACAACGTGAGCAGCAGCAGCAGCAGCAATGGCCTCAAAACAACCGTTGGCAAGAAGACGCCCGTCATTCTACTGGCCACCCGTGGAGCTGGCAACAAATTGCAGCAGCAGCAGCAACAACAACAGCAGCAGCAACAACAACAACAGCAGCAACATCCGCCTCTAACACTCATCAATGGCAACAAAGCGGCGGCGGTCACATTGGTGCGCGTCAACGCGAATCCAAATCGAAATCGCCAGGTTATCATCACCCCCGACGCATCTAGTCTCCAACAACAGCAGCAGCAGCAACTTGAGGAGGCTGCTGCTGAGGTGCAACAACAGCATGATGAGGAGGCGGAGGAGTTCATCGATGAGGATGTGTACGATGATGAGGATGCTGTCTTATCCTCATCGACAGCGCAAATCTTGCGTAAATTTCGCATACCCAAAGGCACAGCGCTGACAGCCAAGTCTGGCGATGGCTATTTGGCAATGCCAACGCCAACACCCTCGCCGCCAATTGCAACAGTCGCTGGCAGCGTCAGTCTCGATGCCTCCAGTTATGTGGATAATACCGATGACATTATCGAAGAGCTCAACGAAGATGATCTCGTTGAGGAGGTCATCGATGAGGAGACGGGCGTCTGCGAGGACGAGGATGAGGAACAGCAGCAAGTGTTGCTGCAACAGCAGCAATCAGCAGCTGGCGACAACGATGGTCTCGATCTCAGCAGCAATAGCAATAATCACAACGCAACAGCTGCAGCTGCCACATCGGCAATGCAATTGCTGCAGCAGCAACAACAACCGGCAGCATTGCAACTGCAAACTGTGGGACCAAATGGCACCGTTACCTGCTTCAATTTGCCAGCAAATACGATATTGGTGCAGGCGTCCGATGGCAGCATCATTGCTCATCCCAGCAAGGCTGGACAACAGCAATTGATCGTGTTGCCAGCGGATTGGAATACAGCCAACATGGCAATGGCGGAGACAGCTGCAGCAGCAGCAGCGGCGGCGCCACAACAAACTCAAACGTTGCTGCTGACGGCAGATGGAACTGCTATACCCATAATGGCGCCACTCCAGCAACAGCATCAACAGCAGCAGCAGCAACAACAAGCCGCAGCAGTTGCTGCTGCTGCGCAGCTATTTGCCGCGTAGGGTCTAATGGGTGGCCAAATGGGTCGATTTTTGAATAATGCCACCATAATGCCAACAACATATTTCTTTTAATCCCAGTACCAGTACCTAAGTCGCGTTGCATCTGCCGCAAAGCAGCAAAATTAACCAGGGGGCACAGCTCATCAATGTTGCTTTGCGCCACCTGCAACACATTTTAACTATATACATTGAGTTATATATCGAAGACTATATTTATAGTGGTCGTTTATAAATTGGATTGTTTCGCTTTCGGGCATTATTTTTATTTAACGAGTAATTTCTTAAAAATCATTTTTAATTCAAAAGTTCTTAGCAGTTTAGAATTGATTGAAAATAAGAATTCTAATTTCAAGAAAAGGAAATTTGCATCAAACAATATAATTTTAATATATTGGTATATTCATTTTTCTACAAATACTAATTTAAGAGCGATCACTGTATATTTTACAACATATATATAATTTGTAAAGCCATTTAACCCCCAATTTATTTAGGGCGCATATCAAAAATCGACGCATTTGGCCACCAAATGCAAATCAAAAGTAAAAATTAAAAATAAACAATGCATAAAAATACCGACAGCCAAGTTAAACTTAATAAAACCACAACTCAATTGTAAAGCTATGCAAAAAAAAAAAACAGAAAGAAAACAAACTGATATTACATAATGTTAATGTGCATACCAAATTTATTTTTCTATATATATCTAAAAAAAAAACATAATAATACACATACATTTATATATATACACAAAGAATCCTATGTAGTAAATACATACATAAAAAATGTCGAGTTTATGTTCATGTTGTGCGCAAATGCAAAATACAAATGTTGTTCATAAAAACACACACACAAAAACACACACACACTTACATACATACACATACACACACACACGCTCACACTCATGCACAGCAGTGTTGTGTAACAAATGAGTTCTGTAAATTTTAAACAACATTTAAATTATTTTTTAACGCTAAGTAGCATATGTTTAAGTGGAAAAAAAACAAACAAAAAAAAAACCACCTAACGAGACACCCGAGCCCAGTTTTCTAACTAATATTTTGACCAGGCGCTATCCCCAGCGCCAGACAAAATTTATGTTTAACCTAATTTAATGTTATAAAAACAAACAACATAAGAAACGAAGAAAAATTATGCTGTATTATTTGAAAAACTAATTCATAATTTCCGCTTACTATACTACTATAATAATTTAAAGAAAAAATACTTAAAAATACTATTTATATATATATGGAAAAAGAAAGTTACACATATATAATTTGTTCCTTTGCATAATAGATGAAGCCATATAACTTTTTTTTTGGCGGCTATGCAACGTATTTCAATTGAAGTATTGTCCGTAATAATTTATTTTACTTTTTTTATTTTTTATTGTTGTTTCCCCGTAAAATCCCCCACTCAACCTGTCACTATGCCCACACACTCTTTCCTGAAAATGTTGTATATTATTTAAAGAAAAACAAACACATATTTATATATATTATTTGCAATTTTTGTTAAGCCATCCGCGAGCGTTTAAATAATACATTTTGATGGTGAATAAAATTAAAATACCCCTAAGAATTGAAGCATAGCACTGACCTAAGTTGTTAATACTAAGAGCGGTACCGTAGTTAAGATCAAAGTATTTTTTCATAATCACAATGCGAAAAAGAAAACAAAAAATAACTAAAGTTATTGTTAAGCCCAAATAACTATTACTAATGGAAGACAATGATTCAAATTCACAGCATATTTATTTTAAGATCAAAACAAACAAATAAAAATACAAAAAAATAAATAAAAAAATAAAAAGAAAACAAAAAACCACATGGAAAAGTGAGCTGCACTTTTTGTAAGATAATTATTTAGATTAAGTCGTAACGAATGAAAACGAAACTGCAAGCAAATAATTAAGTGACATGAGTAGAATACATTATGTATAAAAAATCTATAAATAATAATAACTATACATATATAAATATATATATTTATTATAAACAACAACAAAAATACAATTTTAAAAATTCAAAGCAAATAAAGAATTAAAATAAACATTTAAAACAAGTCTCTTCCGCTTATCACTTGAAAATTTACGGTCATCTTGGCTGGTTGCAGGCAAAATCAGAGCTGTATCCAAATTTAATAAAAATTGAATTTTTGTCTGAATTTTTAAATGAGAATTACCAGGCGAACAGTGTGTGCTCAGCAGATGAAACTGATCTTCTCTTTGTTTGGGTAAGCGAGTGCAACGAACTCCGAACGCGTGCTGCCATTGGCCGGCAGACAGATGTGATGACATGAGAGAGAGAGTGAGAAAGCTGAAAGCTGCGCTCAAAAGCTTAGCAAGTTCTTACGCTCTCTCTGAGCGTGTTGCGGAAGTGTCAGCAAAAGGAGCATGAAGGGCAGTCGAGCAAAAAGCAATCAGCAGCCGATTCTGTTCGCCTAATACTTTCAGCAGAGAATCAACCAACATTGTCAATATTGCTGATACGGATTTTATATTTTTTTACTCTGTACTCGTATGCTATCAATATTGAAAGTAATTTAAGTTTTTTATGAATAATAATTTTAACCAGGGACTTTAACATGATTTGAAAGCAATAATATTATTTGAATGTGGTTAATGAAGCAGTTTTTACTCAAAATACTAATTCGATTATAGATAAAGTCAATAAAATATTATTTGGTTGGTTGGATGTGGTTGATAAACCAATTTTACCCAAGAACCCGACAAATTTTCATAAAATTCTATATAGAGCTGTGTGTATATATTTCAATGATGGCTTTCTAACATTAACAAGAAAATATAGCTAATTTTGAAATTCACAATAATCGTTTTCTATATATACAATTAGTATATATAGATAGAGATATTAACAATTTAATCGCTGATGCGAGCATAGACAACGGCTGTGCGGCAAGGCGTATAGACTTGAATGAAATTGGAGCGACCCGCATGGCCAAAGGGATCCGATTTGTGTTTGCAATTCATGTCGATGCGATTGTGGCCACCGAATTTGGGATCATCCGAGGAGAGGACGGCCTGGTAAGTGCCCGCCCAATTGGTGCCGACGCGATAATCACTAAAACTTTGAGTCGGATGGAAATTGAAGACAAAAACGAGACCGGCACGCTCAAAATGAATCGTCTTATCGCCCTGATGCTTCCAGCTGACATAGGCCGGCCCGGTGTGTAGCCAGCCGAAGCGTTCCTCCAGCTGGTTCATGTCCCGATCGAAGTCATTGAGGAACTTATACCTCAACATATCATCATCGACCAGATTCCATTGACGCCTTGCATAATGATACGAATCATTGTTGCCCACTCGTGGAAAATCCAACCACTCCGGATGCCCAAACTCATTGCCCATGAAATTCAGATATGCCTCGCCGCCCAGCGCATGGGTAATCAGCCGTATCATTTTGTGCAGGGCCAGGCCACGATCAATGATCAGCGTTAGATCGGACATGGTGGACATGTGCGTATACATCTCTTTGTCCATCAGCCAGAACGCAATCGTTTTGTCGCCAACAAGCGCCTGATCATGAGACTCAGCATATGCGACCGTATTCTCCATCCAGCGACGATTTGTCAGTGTATGCACAATATTGCCTACATCCCACTCATCATCCGATTGTTCCTTGAGCAACTCAATCCATTTATCTGGTATGGCCATGCCTAGACGATAGTCGAAGCCGATGCCACCCTCGGAAACAGGACGACACAATGTGGGCATGCCCGAAACGTCCTAAAAGAAAAATGAAGATTCTTAATACATACATATACACAATGCATCAAAACCCACTTCTGCTATGGTTATAATATCCGGATCCAGTTTGTGCAGCATGCTATTAGCCAAGCCCAGATAGTTGAGGGCATCCGTATCGACGTTGAGGCCAAAGTATTCATTGTAATCGCCGCTGAATCCCTCGCCAATGCCTCGCGAATGATACAGCATGGAAGTGACACCATCGAAACGATAGCCATCGAAATTGTACTCGTCGTGCCACCAGCGCAGATTGGAAAGGAGAAAGCGCAATACTTCGTGTTCCGTATAATTGAAGAGGCGACTGTCCCACAAGGAATGCTCGCCCCGAGCGCCATCGTGGAAGAAGCCACTGTTGGTGCCATCGAACTGATTGAGGCCATCCTGCACATTCTTCGACGCATGCGAATGCACCACATCCAGCAGCACGTACAGACCCTGGGCATGGGCCACATCAATCATACGCTTCAGCTGCTCGGGATTGCCATAGCGACTGGAGGCGGCAAAGAAACTGGTCACCTGATAGCCGAAACTGGCATAATAGGCATGCTCCATGATCGCCATCACCTGGATGCAGTTGTAGCCCTGTCGCTTGATGCGTGGCACGATGCGATCAGCGAACTCATCGTAGCTGCCCACGCGTGGCTCTTGCGAAGCAATTCCCACATGGCACTCGTAGATCCTCAAGGATTTAGGCTTTGCTGGACGCGAATGCTGGCGTTGATAGCGCTCTGAGGCGGGTGGCTGCCACACGTACTGCTTGTAGTTGACGCCCTGATTGGCACTTTTAGGCGGCTGAACCACATACTTGGCCCATGGCGACAAACGATCCAACAATTGACCAGATTGATTCCGTATGATGACCTTTATCTCGCTGAGATGCTTAATGGGTGCACTGCCATCAGCATTTGCCGGCAAATGCAGTTCCCATTTGCCAAAGGGTAGCTTCTTAAACGCATGCGATTCCCATTGCCAATTATCTATGATTTGTTTGGAGTTTTAATTATTAATTTGATTGAAGGTCAACTTTAAAAGCGCAATTTGTGATAACTGTCAAACTATCGATACATAAGTACTCATTAAATAACCTAATTTATTACGAACTATCGATACCAAGTGCTCCTCAAACAGCACAAAAACTTTAGCTACACTTGTAAAAATATTATGTTAAATAATATATATTAATTTACGTATAATATATATAATATTTAACATAATTTTTATTTACGGTTTAATATGTTTTTATTGCTGTAATTTAATTATTTCGAAGCAACTTCGCGCTCTATCAGCATTATCGATAATTTAACAGCTTTTAAGTTTGGGCGCGGCGAATTTAAAAAGCAAGGCGAATAGTGTTGCCAGCATCCTTACATCCTTACAACGAGCGAAAGCTGCAGTTGATCTTCTCATACATGTTATCAAAATTGCGTACTCACTAAAATCGCCAGTTAAATAGACATCTTTGGCGCCCGGCGCCCATTCGCGTGCAATCACAGAGTTGTCTGGCTGAAAGTGCAGGCCATAATACTTATAGCCCTGCGAGAACTCCTCCATGCCACCCTCGCACTGATCGATTTTCTTAATCCAATCCTTGAGGACGCCATGTCTGCCAAAAAAGAGAGAATAACGAAATCAAAACAAAGGCGGAAATTGAGAGAAGAGATCAAAGTCAAGGTGAATAGACGACGCGACGGCTGTTCCAAATGTTTCAGAAAATGTCTATCTATTATGATGATGTAGGCGAGACGGCAGCAAACGCACGCCGTAAATTAAATGACCTTCAAGTGACATTGAAACAACGCAGTTTTAACCACTGCAGCCGGGGGTAAAGTAGTGTTGAAAAATAGTTGATATGATTATTCAGTGCACAACAGCAACAACAAGAACAAGTTGTTCGCTTCATCGCCCAACTTTGGATTGGATCACAATCCAATTGGTGTAAATTCAAGTTAATCAAAATTCAAACTCACCGGCGACGTATCTCACGCTCGAATGGCTTTAGATAGCCATCCTGTTCGAGCAGCTTATCAATGTCCTTAACCTCCACCTTCATAGAATCAGACATATTGCAAGCCTCTTAGTGCAATTTAAAATAGCTAGGAATGCAAATAGAAATGAAAAAGAACTCGCGCACCCACCGGCGCTGCTTGCAAATTGACAACTGTAGCAACTGTGACAGCTGTGCAGCGATTGGTGCGGGCCCCAACACAAAAGCTCTCGGTGCGAGCTTTTTCGTTTTTGCGTCAAGCAACAGCTGTTTGCGGCTGCTGCTTCTTCTTCGCTGCTGTCTTTTGTTGTGCTTATTCGCGCATATAAACAACAACATAGCAATTAGTTGCATTGTTTGCTGATAACAAAAGCAACTGATAACAAGATTACAAGCATATGTGTATGTGTGCATGTTAACTGCCAGATTGCCATGCCATTTATAAACTGGCGCCGGTAATTTGAATGCATCTTTATTATGTAAAGGTTGAAAAGTATATTATAAATTAGTAATACTTTAAAGATGATTGCTATGTCATCCATGTCATACATTATGACCTTGATTAATTGAACTTATGTGGTCCACATATTAAATGAATTTTCCCTCAGTAAAATTTATATTGAAAGACTTTGGAGTGCGGAGGGAAATTTCCTTTTAGGCATCTTAATTGAGGAAAGATATGTGTACCCAAATTTTAAATGTCTTTTAAAAATTAAAAAAATATATATAGATTTATATATATATATACATTTATTTGTATATGTGTTTGAGTAAATTTGAAGTTTTTTTTTTTTTGCTTTTTGAAATGCACGTTTTTTCTTTGCGATCGTTAGTATTTTTGCATGGCAAATATCGATAATATACGAGAAAACTGGTCACACTAACGAAACTTCTTTTCCCACTTAAAATAAAAAAAACAATGATACATACATACATACAGTTCACAATCAGCTGTTTTGTGGCTGAAGCGGCCATTTGCAGCAGTCTGTTTTAGCGTCGCGGGTGTGAAGGAACGCGCTTTGGTTTTTACGTTTAGTTTTAAGTTTTGCGCGTTTTACTCGATGCCGGTGTCGCCCAATATAAGTTAGACACAGCATTAGGCAACGGTGAGTGAACGCGCTGGAAAATTATTAAAACGTGTATGAAATTAATAAAATGTGCGTTTTATGTTTAGGCATTTTGTATATTTCTAAACGTTTATCACACACACACGCATACATATAAACATAGGATAAGATGGGTCGCAGTCGAAGTCCCGCTTCACCCGCACACAGACGCAGGGAAAAGGAGCGAACAGAGCGTAAAAAGAGGCGCGAGCGTCGCTCACGCGAAAGAGAAGCCATCGTTGGAAGCAGCGGCAGCAGCAGTCGTCGTGACAGGGAACGTGATCGTGAGCGTGACCGTAGCCGCAGCCGTGACAGGGATCGAGCACGGGGCGGCGGCAGGCGTTCGAGGTGAATAAGCAAGTGTAGTGTACCAAACCACAGCGATAAGTATAAAGTACTACCGTTTTTTTCTTATTTATTAATTATAATTACGCATAAGTATATTAAAGCGTGGCAATTTTAGCCACGCTTGCGGAACTGGTTCAATTAAACCGGCTGCTAAAATGCAACCCTGTGTGTGTGTTGTGTATGTTTTGACAGTACTCACTAGTTCGCAATTCTTTGGCTCACTTGCTCATTTTGGCAGTTCAGCGCCGCTTAGCAAAATTACCACGTGAAGTGAAATTGAAACGAATTTCATCACAAAATTTAAACTAAATTTAATATAAATACACAAAAGTTGATAGCAGACAGTGCCTGGCCTTAGAAAGCAAACACTCAACAACAGCAAAGCAATCGAAGTTAAATTAAAGAAGAAAAAGCACAAAGAAAATGGCGCTACGCGTGCAATTTGAGAATAATGACGATGTTGGCGTCTTTAGTAAATTAACAAACACATATTGTTTGGTCGCTATTGGCGGCTCGGAGACCTTCTACAGTGCGTACGAAGCGGAATTGGCCGAAACCATTCCCGTAATACATGCCAATATTGGTGGCTGTCGCATAATTGGCCGTTTAACTGTTGGCAATCGAAATGGACTTTTGGTGCCGCATTCGACGACGGATGAGGAACTGCAGCATTTGCGCAACAGTTTGCCAGATGCCGTTAAAATTCAACGGGTGGAGGAACGTTTGTCGGCTTTGGGTAATGTGATTGCCTGCAATGATTATGTGGCATTGGTGCATCCGGATTTGGATAAGGAAACTGAAGAGATTATCGCCGATGTTTTGAAAGTGGAAGTCTTTCGTCAAACCATAGCAGAGAATACCCTTGTTGGCTCATATACGGTGCTGAGCAATCAGGGCGGCATGGTGCATCCGAAGACGAGCATACAGGATCAGGATGAGCTGTCATCACTGCTGCAAGTGCCACTTGTGGCGGGCACTGTTAATCGGGGTAGTGAGGTTCTTGCCGCCGGCATGGTCGTCAACGATTGGATCTCCTTTGTCGGCATGAATACAACAGCCACCGAAATTTCCGTAATTGAGAGTGTCTTCAAATTGAATCAGGCACAGCCGGCAACGGTGACAACAAAACTCCGTGCAGCACTCATCGAGGAAATGTCCTAAAAATCAGGCAGCAGCTTCACTTGTCTATATTTAAGAAATCACACACAAAACACACACACACACACATTTTGTTATTTTATGTGTAAACAGAAACAGCCGAAATATACAACATTTAAAAAAGATTGTACTTATTGAGATCTGTCTATATAAAATATATATATGTATAAAACGTCCAATGGAATTCCTCTTTGTGATTTGGCATGAGATGAGTCACGATTTCTTGTCAAGCTTTTAAATAGAAGTTCTTTTAAAGGGTTTTTAAAGCTTAAATAGTTGAACATATTTGGATGATCATCGTATATATAATATATATCTTATATATAGTATATAATAATCATTCTAAAATAATATTGGTCGTATTTTGGAAATTGTTAAATGGTTGTATTAAAATATATTATATGTATTGTTATAATGCTTCTCTTCAATCGACTCAAGTATCAAGTTCACGAAACTAGTTTTTCCCGTTTTCGTATATATCCTTGTCCGATCGTCCTGCCAAAAAAGTGTCACATTGCTATAATTAAATGCTCAAATTGCGTTTACTCCTTAATATATATATATATATATATATATACAGATGCTCCAGTTTGCCCAAGGACACATTTGAATTCATTGTATTTGCATTTTATATGAATTTGAATTAAAATGCAATCAGCTTCCACTTCATTATGAAGTGCTTCTAGCTGCATTCGTCCTCTCTCTCTCTCTCTCTCGCACACACTCACACAAGCATATGCATTTTTATGATTTCTTTCACAGATCCCGTTCACGTGGTGCTGGCGGCATCGGCAGCGGTTCTTCGGGTCCATCATCATCGTCGCGTCGTGCGACACGAAACAATTCAGCAGCAGCAGCTGCAGCGGCGGCAGCAGCCGAGCGACCGCCAATCAACGAGGCCGACTTGGAAGGTAAATCGCCGGAAGAGGTCGAAATGCTGAAGACAATGGGCTTTTGCACATTCGACACGACCAAGAACAAGAAAGTCGAGGGCAACGATGTTGGCGAGGTGCACGTGATCCTCAAGCGCAAGTATCGCCAGTATATGAATCGCAAGGGTGGCTTCAATCGACCGCTCGATTTTGTCGCATAGTTATCTTGTTTTTTTTTTTGCGACATGCATAATCTATATTTATGCAACGTATTTTTTCACGTTACGTTCTTCTTGACGTAACGGACCTGCAATTTTATGCAATAGACCGGTTTACAAAATTTAACAAAAAAAGAAACATAAAAAACCTCACAAAATTTCCACATACACACAAACACATACAAATACCTCAAGTAATAACAAAGCTAGCTAGTTATTTAGTAGTTTAAGTCGAATGCGTTGTTTTAAAATTAGCTTTTGACCGAAAAACAAAAGTTAATTTTACAACAATTGCAACAGAACCACAATCACAAACACAAAAAAACACCTACCCCACGAATGTAACTGAAAGCTCCATATTTAAAAATAATTTACTCTAAAGTTATCGATAATCAAACGATCGATCGATAGTAGTTATCAACGAAGTGTCAGCAGCATAATTGACAACACTTGTTGCTCTTGCTCTCATTTTGGCTTTTTGTCATCGTTTCATATTCAAATTTCTGTTTGCTTTCAGTTGCATTTGCCAATGTTTTTAAAATGCACACACGATTAATGCTTTTTAAATATTTAAAGTAATTACAATTGTTTTTGTTGTCTCCGAAAACCATCTTACACATTTGACGTGTGTAAGCATTTGGCAATAACCACCCACAAACTTACCAAACACACGAATTAACTGAAATTTCAAAATTTACATTCAAACACACAAGTACAATTACTTAAAGTATTTGAAAACATACATAAACTCACAAATCACAAACTATCCACAAATCCCCGATAAATCCTTTTCCCCATGATATATCCTCCATACGCTGCAATAGTACAATTTTTACAACCAAACAAAAATATATATCAAATATATATTTTATATATAGAAAATTTATTTATACACACACATACACCAAAGTACCTACAACAAACCCCTATAAAATCCCTACCGTTAAACCGATTTTTACAATAGCCATAGCCATTTGTTAAAAAAAAATAAAAACAGAAAAGAAATGAAATGTTATTTGTTCAACAATCAAAATGTTGTAAATTTATTTTTATACCAGTCAACAGTTAATTCATTAATCACAAGTGCCAAGTGAAAAATAGCAACAAAACAGGCAAACAAATAAATAATTAAGTTTAAGTGCAGACGCAGATTGAATAAATATATTTATATAATCTTTTGTACTTTTTATACCGATTATAACAATGTGTAAACAATAGTTACATTTTTGGCAAACTAACAATTAAACTTCAAACAATACAAATTTGGCAATCTCTCTCACACACACACTCACAACACACACACTTATTTCTTTGTAGTTTTTTAATACAACGAAATTGCAGGGATTATTTTATATACTTAATGCTATTTAAATAAACACCCGAATACAACTATGAATAAATGTATAAAAGGAAAAATGTATAATTTGGTTAAATTTCGCTCAATTTAAGTTTAAACAAAACGGTGTAAATTATTAAAAACATCAAAATTACAAATGAAAAAACGTTGTTTTATTTCCAAAACACAAAAAGCTTCGTCAGATTAATCAGTTTTAAATTTGTTTTTGTTTTTTTAATAACACCAAAATTTCTCATTTAATAAAATGCATAGATATGGATTTTATAAACGCGCTCTAACAGGCTCAGTACAAGATACTTCACTGGCATCCCGTATGGAGCCCGCTCGGCGACGTTCTCGATCTGTTGCGGGCAAATATCGTCGGTATTTGGATAAGGATAAATGCTTGGTGGGATTCGCAAGCATATGCCAAAGGCCATTCAATATTTGCAATCATTCCCCTGATGATAGTGTGGATGACGGCCAGCTGCTGGAGTACCAGGAGAGCTTGGCGCGTATCCCATGCCTGGATCTGGATAGCACACTAGCCGATGAGCATCGCATGCTGCCAAATATCAAGTGTAGAAAAGTCATCCCATTAAAGTTTAAGCGAAACAACCAATCATGAATTTTAGTTACAAAATAAATTGGGTCATTTTATGCCAAAAATGTTATCTAAGATGTGATAGTATATCATTATTCCAATTTTGATCTCTCTAATAATATCGATTTTCAACATGCACTTACATTTATATTTAGTATATATAATTTTATTTAAAGTACTTTAATCGGGCTTGTTTTACATGAGAATTACACTTCAGTAAAATACGCATTAAATAGTTTTTGATTTTTACTTCGTTGAATTGAATTCTTAAAAAAATTTTACCTGCTCGTTGCATTTGCCTTTAATTTAGTTACAATTTTTTTCAGCTCAAATGTGATTTGGTCGCTTTTTGTAATTGTTAATTATTATTGTTTTAGGTAAAAAAAATTTTAAATGCAATATTTGCATATCGTTTATTGACGAAAGACACATAAATTTCATTCGTAATACGCAAAATTTAATACAGTTTCGCAATTTTATTGAAGAAATAAATCGATGATGAGAATAAAAAATGTTTGTATATAATGTGAACACGTCGATTAAGAATCGAAAAACTTGAAGGATGGAAGAAAAATTAATAATGCCGCCTTGCAAGCGATTAAAGTGTACGACTAAATATTATTAATTTAGTTATTGTTACGTTGTTTTTTTGTTTTTTTTGTTTGTTGTATAATATTATGAAATACATGAGGTGATAGGATGCGATTGCCATACTCGTAATAATTGCTGCTAAGAAACAAATCTATAAATACAGTATAATTCAAATCTGCTGCAGCTTTTTTTTCTTTGATTGGAAAACATTTTCAAAATGCAATCATTAGCCTGGGTTTTGAAATTATCCTGTATTGTGCGCTAAAAGTGAAAACAATCAAAGACAGGCTTTTCATAATACAATTTGTTACAGCTGTTGCTGTTGAGTAGATGTTGTTTTTGTTGGGTTTTTTTTTCTTTCATTAAATGTTGTAATGTTAGGTTAGTCTTTTTTGTTGCCACCCATCTCTCGGTTTCGTTGCGGAGGGAGGAAGGATCCACCAATTTAATCCGCCTTGCGCGGCTTACGTTTGCGCACCTGCTCTGTGCCTGGCTTCTCCGTTAGCAGTTCGGGCGCTTCATCGCCAGCTGGATTGTTTGTAGTGTTTTCAATGTTTTCGGTTTTGCTTTCGGCCTTCTTATTTTGCGTCTTATCTGTTGCAGTTTCTGGCTTCTTTGCGTCTTTCTCCTCTTCTTGTTCCACTTCTTCTTAGCTCTCATTCTCCTCTTCCTCCTCCTCGTCGTCATCTTCGTCGGCTTCTTCACTATTGCGTTCCTCATCCTCCTCCACAGCATCCTCTTCCTCATCTTCCAGTTCCTCGGTGGCCAAATCCTCAACTCCTTCGGCTAGATTATCCTGCGATTCGGAGAAGCTTTGACGCTGCGCCTTCTTTGGGGGATAAATAAAGTCCACAATGCAGACGAGCATCAAACCCAGAGCGGCACCCACAAAAATGGTGGCAATGGCAAATAGTGCATAAGATCCCCAGGTGGGCAGTCCATATTCCTCCTGCAGGCGAGCGTTGAAGTCCTAAAAAGAGTTTTTGTATAATGTATAATTTGTGCAAAAGCTTAAAATGTAACAATTGATATATATGTTCATATATTCATATATATTACATTTTCTACAAATGCAAATGAACTTTACACCACGGTGCGATGAGCTTCATCATCTGAGCGAGACATAGACAATAAAATAACCTTTCGATCCCAGATAAGCTTCCGCATGCGTGCATTGAACTAACTCGACCGATTAAAGCCAATCGTAAAAAAGCGATTGCGTTTCGGGCAGCAGATTGTTGACATACCTTCAGTGTGTGCGACAGCTTGAAGAAATAGGATAGCAAGGACATGTGAATGGTGTCGGGCTTCTTCCATGAGGACAGCGGCTCAATGCTCTGCCAGGACTTCTTCTTGAGGAAATACAACAAAGCATCAGCATCACGTGCGCCACGATATTGACGGAATTCACCATCCTTCACACTGAGTGTAGACATAACAATAAGGATTCCATTAGATGATAATCGATGGGGTATTCTTCAAAATCTACTCACTGATAGATTGTCGGCAAGGCAGTGACAAAGAAGCGACCGCTGAGCGATGGCGAAGTTGTCACATCGATCTTGGCCACATGGACATTCACATCCTTGGCGGTGCCAGCGTAACGTTCCCAAACTGGAGCAAGATTCTTGCAGGCGGGGCACCAGGGTGCAAAGCTAAATATATATATAAGAAATTCATTATATTAAAAAGAGGTGAAGAGAAGTTAACTAATTTTGTATGAGTAATTGCTGAGAAAAATATACATTAATAAATATAAATACATGTAAACAATTTATGAAATCTGAATAAGTTAACTAATCTTTATCTACCTAATAATTATTTCAGGTTCGTTTAAAAATTAAAATATGAACTCTTTTTTTTTGGCATTTCCAAATAGATTTCGCAGAAATTGCATCACCTGCGTTCTTATTAGCGAGTGAACACTGCGACGTATACTAGAAATATTAAAGATATTGGTAAAAACCATTTGTCAAATTTATACGTATTTGTTTTTTTTTTATCATGATTCCGGATAAAAACAGCTGCAAAAACGCATGCAAAACAGCTGTCAGTGGAATGACGAAGTCAGCCAATCAGAAGAGGACAACGCATGCATATTTAAACGGAATGCAACATTCCACAGCAACAAGAACCAGCTTCATCATCTTTCTTTTTGTTGTTGTTGCAGCGTCTTGTTGCCGGCAACACCCCACACAAACTGCGACTGCGTTGACAATAATGGCTTTGTTCGATTAGCCGCCACACACACACTCATTCGTACTCGCACTTTTCTTTGTTTTACTCACAATTCAATCATCCATTCGCCATTTAGCATTAGGTGCCAGTTATCCTCGTCCAATTCGATTAGATTTCCATCTGGCTGCATCAATTTTTTGGCTGCCGTCGATGCCGCCGCTGCCGATTGTGCAGCAAGCAGCGTGACGATGACACATGACGCTGCCAAAATTTGTAAAGTACTGTGCATTTTTGCAACGCGCTGTGTGTAACTTAGCTATAATGAAAAAAATCTGGATTTTCTTTATGCTAAATTTGTTCAGCTTTCGACTTTATTGTAGCAAGTTTTTCTATGTTTGAAACGAAGCTAAAAATTTCGGACGCAAAGCTGTCCAATTCGACACTGTAGAGATGTGCAAGTATGCAGTGTGGCACTGTGTGATGTGTACATACTCTATCGATATATCGATATCAATGTAGTATTTTATATTGATAGTTCCAGCTACTGGTTTTGTATTTAAAGCCATATTTAAAGATCAATCTAATCTTATCGATACTATGTATCGAAATGGAAATAGTAAAGTAATCAAGAACGTACGTATATTTCTAGGTTCGTCAATCTAAAAGCTACGCTTAGTTTATAACGATGTTAACAAATTTGGTATGTTGAGCGATAGCATAAGTTATGCTTCTTATGTTATACTAGTGTTAAATCCTAACAGTAGCTGCTATCGCACTGTTGCGTCGTGAGCTGTAATATCTATCGATTATCAAGGCACATCCGATAAGGAAGACGAATAAAAACAAAGAAAAAATTCTAATTAATATCAAATTGGACACAAAACAAAATTAACATATTGTCAATTGTGCGCAGAGCCAACAAAAACCCGCACAAAGATGGCCCACAATTATTTGCAGCCGGTGAATAATCACTTTGACATGGATAAATTTGCAGACGTCGACGATGACCTTTTTCTGCGAAATAATAGAAAAAATCGTGCACCGAGGAGTACGAATCCATTTGATGATGATGATGACGGGGACGGAGAAGTCTCTGAGAGCTCCTCGACTACTGCCCAAAGGCAGGCGTACGCCGAAAAACGTCGAGATATTGAGCAGCGCACACTGGACTCCACGCAGAAAAGTTTAGGTATGTGTTTTTCATGATAATTATTATTGGGGGCGTTACTCAGCATTTAATTGAATTAATTACTAGGCTTGCTCTATGAAACGGAGGAGGTTGGCAAGGCAACGGCTGTGGAGCTGGCACGTCAACGCGAGCAGTTAGAGAAGACCTCACATAATCTGGATGAGATTAATTCAACACTACGTTTCAGTCAGCGTCACTTAAATGGCTTGAAGAGTGTTTTTGGCGGACTCAAGAATTACTTGTCGGGTAGCAGAGATCAGCCACCGACGGCTACAGGTTCACCGACCAGCAGCCAGGAGACCAATTGCAATGCCAGTGTTGTGACTGGCGGTGGAGTTGGAGCAGGTGCAATACCCAAACAACACCCACAGGCGATGTCACCAACGGAACGCTATGATAATCATCCGGTTAGCCGTATCCGAGACGACTCCAGTTCCTATCATCAGCGGCAGGCGCAGGCGCAGCAGCGCGCCGCAAATCCCTTTCAGCACCAGCTCGAGTCGAATCTCGATGATATGTGTGATAATCTGTCGCGTCTTAAGTTCTTGGCCACCGATTTGGGCACGGAAATTGAATCCCAGAACGGTTTGTTGGACAACATGAACTATAAAATCGAAAGTGTCGACTTGAAGATGAACAAGCAGAATAAGGATATGAATAAGCTGCTGAAGAAGTGAATGGCTTAAATATAATAACTATACAAAGACATAATGGATAAGAAGCTCACACATAATTCTACACGTCTACATATTAATCATATCACCTACAGTAAAACCTCAAAGAATTTCGCGCCATCATTAAGCATTCCTTGTTTATTTTTTGTTTTTGTTAGTTTATTTTTTGGTTTTATGTATTATGTGCACCAAAAATGATATTTCTATGAGCTGGTATTTGTGCGTTATAAGTGTTCATTTTCCAAACTAGAATTTTTAAATAAAACATTTATTTAGTTTGTATTTTCAATAAATAATCAAAATATGATAATTTTTGATAATCAATCTTTTGCAACGTACAATGCTTTAAATTTAGGAAAGCTACAATTTGTGTTGATAAGTGCTGTATGCATTTTACATCAAGCTCGTGATTCATAAGTTGTGAGCTGCGTACTTTGCTGATATCGATTATCGATCATCGATTGCTTATCAGTAGCTCGCTTAAGCTCTTGGAGTGTTTGTTTGTAGCTCGCTCGCGCCAAAAAGCACATGCTGCGTATATAAACATTATATACAGTTGGAAAAGGAATCAAAATGGACGAGGCATTCTCAACAAGCGCCCAACTGCTGAAAGAGCCGTTATCCTTCGCGTAAGCAAAAATAAAACTAGCAACGTGCTGAGCGATACAATTTTTTTGCCTTCTTCTTTGTAGTGAGTTGATTAGCAGTGGCGCCCATTTTGAGGTGGACACTGCACATTTTAATAGTAATTATTGCGATGACTTTAATGCAAGTGACGATGGCGAGGAGGATGTGAACGAGGAGGAGATTGAGCACGAGGCGCTTATCTCTCCCTGGACACGTTCGTTTGCTGAACTGCGTGAGCTGATGACACCCATCGATGAGCACATTTATAAGCGGATTACACGTGCCGGGGTCAAGGAGCAGGGCCTGGTGCCCGACAAGGCACGTGTTGCACTGCGCTACAGTGCCTATTGGGAGGGGCAGAGTGCTCCGTTTGATTCGTCGATGCTGCGTGGCACAAAATTCGAATTCGAGACCGGACAGAATGTGGTGCTGGAGGGCTTGGAGGCAGCGGTGCGCAGCATGTACATCTATGAACAATCGGAGTTTATCATATCCTACAAGTTGCTCTTCCATGAGCTGGGCTGTCCGCCACGCATTAAACCGCATGCGGATGGTCTCTTTAAGATCGAAGTAATTGGCTTTACGCTAATTGGCGATGGGCAATCGCTGGAGCAGATAGCGCCCGAGGATCGCAACAAGTTCTCGGTGGTATATCCCAAGGCGCAGGATATGCATTTGCATGGCAAGGATTGTGTGAAGCGTGGCTCGTATCGCAATGCAATCACAGCGTTCGAGCGTGCAGTTGCTTCACTCAATTATTGCCGACTGGCCGACGAGAAGGATGAAGTGCAGCAAAATGAATTGCTAATTACGCTCTACACAAATCTCATGATTTGTTACAATAAGCTGAATAAGCCGGCTAGAGTTTGTACTTCGATGAAGGCACTGCGTCTTCTCACACGCAATCAGCCGTCGTGCAAGGCTCTGTTCCAAGAGGGAAGAGCTCTGGCCGCATTGGGGGAATACGAACAGGCTCGCCAAGCTTTTGTCCTTGCCCAGGTCAAGCAACCGAACAACAAGGAGATCAGCGAAGAGATTATTAATATGGAGCAGCGTGTGAGCAAATATGAGAAGTCCATGCGTGAGATTTGGTCACGTGCCCTCGGCAACAAAGAAAAGGAGAAGCAGAAGGATAAGGAGGATCAGAAACAGAAGCACGACTCAAATGAAACTGAGGCAAATAACGAGATAAACGAGTCCGTAAATCAACAGTTCCGTCGCGACTTTGAGTCGCAGCTGGAGGAGTTTGAGAAATCGTCGTTGCGTTCGCTCCACATGAGCCGCAAAATGTATACGGACAAGGAGTTTCATGTCCTGCGTCTGCTAGCCAAGGCGCACAACATGAAATTGAGTCTGTCCTCATTGGATGTGGATCAGATGACGCTTACAAAACTACAGCTGAAATAGAGCATAGTTACTTTAAGCAGTTGTATCTCAAGTATTAATATTACCATGAGTCATCATGGGCAGCTACTCAGCAAATGATTCCAAAGAACACTTGCCAACTTTATGAATTTATTTACTCCAAATATAGTTTATTTTTAACCAAAGATATTACAAGAAACATAATATCCATTTTTTTTTATACTCTTGAAATAATCTCAAAGTTTGAAGTAGAACTGAGCCACTGACTTTAATCTTAAGAGTCAATTTTTTTTCCTTATGAAAATTATGATGTATCAGAAATACTTTTCACAACTTTTTACTTCTGCCTTTTTAACATTTAATCCATATAAATAAATATGTTTTTTATTTTGTAATTATTGTGTGTCTTATTGATCGGCTCTTTGTTGCAGCTCTCTGGCCACCTGTCGCTGTAGACAGGCCAAGCAGACACATCCTTTGACGTGGGGCAGTGGATGATCCAGGACATGCACTTCCTGCAGCTCAAAACTATTCGAACTGTAGGCTGCCATCCTTTCCGCATGCTGGCACTTGCAATATACACAGCAACAAATGATGCTGGCTGCGTTAAGTAATTAGAAAGATTCAAAATTATTATATTTTCATATATATACATTTGCTTTATATGCAGCTAAATGGCAACTGCAAATGCATTTATCTGACGACTAGTGGAAAATAAGTTAAGCTTCTGGTTACGCAGCTAAAACAATAAGTGTTCAATTTTATAATTGCCGTGTAATTTGAGATTTGCTGAACGCATTCAATTTCTATACTAAGACGATAAAATACTTGTGTCATGAAATAATTTTCTATGCCTCATTTTTGCTTATCTATCTAAATGTCTTTATCTATAAGCGTTTGTTTAGTTATTATTACACCCACTTATGCATGTTATCCACAAGGCCAGCATCAAATAGGGATAGATAAAGGCAGGCGCAAAGGACTCTGGCTCCAAATTGTTGTTGTTGTTGTCGTTGTTGTTGCTGTTGTTTTTATTAGCTTCCAATGCTGGCAGCTTGTGCCGACTGACGTTGTTGCTCGCATAGATATCAAAAATCGAATCCATTAACGTTTGCGAATAGTGGCCAACACTGGCAATGTCAGCGAGCACAGCGAGCACAAGCAACTGATTAGTTAGGAATAGAACTAAGCGAATATTGCGAGCTAGACGCATTTTAATGCTTATGCAGCAACTGTCGCCGAATGAATGTGAGGAAAACTGGTTACCGAGTGACCAGAAGTAGTATTCAAACTGCTCTTGGAGATGTGTCTGTGTCTGTTTAGTGCAGGTTTCAAAATAACGCTTGTCATCAGCGAATGTGAACTGAAAAAAGAGTGTTTTCTTCTTTGATAAGCAAACACTTGTGAGAGGCATTTGGAAATGGCAAAAATATGTTTACTCTCTGTCTCAATAATGACTTCAAAATTCTGGCATAAGCTTGACAATTTATTTATATATACATATTTTTACAGTTGCTCATTCCGTATTTTGATTGCCCAAATAGGTATCGCGAGCATTTTGCACAACCAATACGGAGATTTTAGCATCTGGAGTTATGATAACCTCGTGGAATTTGGTGCGCACACGAAACATACAAAGATTTTCGGGTGGATCCATTTTCTGCAGAAATGCCTGTGTCTTCTCACGCAAATTGTCATAGAGGCAGGCATGCTGCAGTGCATCCTGTGGCTGCATGGAAGTCTTCACGGGCACCCCCGAACGATTCATGATGAGAACGTCCTCAACGCCGGGTTTCACGAGCACCTGACGAAACGCTTCATCAACATAGCGCTGAGTGCGCTTCGGCTAAATAATTATTAATTATTATTAGTCATTAAGGAAGAGCAGGAAAATAACAAATTTTGCGTACCTCAACTTCTGCAGCTTGCATCTTATTCTGTTTTTCAATTCAACGTATGCTTTAATAAGTTTGAAAACAATAATGCTCAGTTTATGAAGACTTCATAATAATAGTCGACATATAAAAATCATTGTATGAAGAAAAATTTAGATTTTTACAGGGCTGCTTTGCTTCCTCATTTACATTTAGTCTTTGCAAGCACCATTTGTAATCGCCAGCAGCACAATTTATAAGTAGAAAAGTTACGCAGAATCTAAAATCCATTTTCGAAATACCTTTTGTATACATACAAACAAGTTAAATGCCACAAATGCTTTATAAAACCTTCTTATTTGTATAAACATTCAAATTTATAGCTCTTCTGGAAGCAGTTCTAAATAAAGCGTATTGTTGAGCAACGTCTTTGAAAGCAGTTCTAATTTAAGCAGTGCACATTTGTTGCTCTCTTAAATGAACAAGTGCAAGCGACGTTCTCTTAAGCAACGAGTACGTTGAACAAAACTGATTCTAGACTCTATAATTCAAGATGCGCTCGTGGCGTCGCTCGCTGACTTCTCGTTTACTTGATCTATTTGACGGGTTCTCGCGGTCGAGAGTTCGAATCCTCGCTCGGGAAATCTATTTAAAATAATAAAAATGTTTGTGTTCCTGTTATTCTTCAAGGTAGGTATACACTTTTATAAGAGCCACTCTCTTTGGCCGGATTAATGATAATATAATTAATGCCGATTATGCGAGAGTAGGCAGATTACAATTTGGTGGGAATTACGCCTTCGGTGCCCATAACGGTTATCAAATCCGTGGGAAAACTATCATCCTTGTTTCCCTCCACAAATTTCAATTTTTTGTCGGACATATTTTAATAAAAGTCTCTCGAGTTTTTGTTTTGTGTTAAAACCCATAAATATTTATTCATAAATTATCTAATAATTTAATAATTTAGGTTTCTTAACATACCTTCATTTTTTGTATTGATGGCCGCTTTGGAATATAATCGATTTCATTTTGTTTTCAATTTTACATTCACATACACATGTGCATAATAGGCAATTACAAGAACAGCAAAGTATTTTTTTGATTTTTGATTTTTTTTTGTAGGTTCCTCTTTCTCAATGTCCCCTTAAAACGTATAAAATAATATCTTAAGTTCATATTAATTAAATATAATTTTAATTGGACAGTGAGAAACGATCCATAGTATTGTTTTTTTTTTATTTATGTTATAGTACATACAAAATAATTGTAGATTTTATTTTTGCAACATTTGAAGTTGTGAACATTGTTTATAAAGTTAGTTTTAGTCTACCAGATTCTGTTTTTTTTTTTTTTTTGCCCCATACATAAGTTAATTTTCTTCCATATATATTTATTTCACTTCAATCTTAAAACTTATCTCAACAACAATAACATTCTCAGTTTATTTAAGTGTAGGGCATTGTCTAGTCGATGAATTCCGACTTTTGCATAAAATAACTTAATACAATTTTATATAATTTTAACTTATTGCATAATTAATACATCAATTCTATTCTGCGGCACATATAATATATATGCATATGAGTATATTTCTTTATAATAATACTATTTATTTTTTCTGCCTTTTTATATCGAAGATAGTATTTAATGAGTTTTTTGTTTACTGTACATAGATCGGATTAGAGAGGTGGGTGGAGTTGTCAAAGATTACAGATTCCGTCGTATAACTATTATTTTTATTGGCTTAATGTAGCGATATGAATTTTGCAAATATTTTCTTTTATAATTTTATAATTTTACTCTGTCTTAGCCCAAAGTTTCATATAAAATTTGAAGCTCCTGTGATTTTTTTTTGTTTAATTTTATTAAATTTTTGCATTTTGATTTTTAAAGTAAACTTTCTTATATTCTATGGGGGTTCATTCAAAAATTTTGAGCATGCTTCTCGTAACATTGATTTTGGTTTGATCAACATAATTTTGTGTGTGTCGGAATTGACAGTTTTTGCTAGAAATCTAATATAATTTATAAAGTACGAGAAACTAAAATTTTGATTTGAGCAAATTTTTTTTTTACAAATATAACTCAGCTCAAGTTTATATTTACACCATAATAATATAAACATAATATATGCGTTTGTTGTTTATTTTTCATCGTTTTTAAATTTAATTTTCTAATCAATTATATAATATTTTATTCATTTGTTTAACAGCCATTTAACATTTCCATATTTAGATTATTGTTGATAATTTTTGTATTTTTATTTTTGTTTGTATCTTTTGTTTTACAGGTACACAAAAATCCACATAAACTAACAGCATGCAACAATGGGTTAATTATCTTAACAGTTTGGGGTTATAGTACATTATCTTTCGGTATGGTCTTACATATGTATTTTTATATATGTATGTATATTCTAGGTACATTTAGTACATAGTTTCGTAATAGTATCTCACAGCTACTGCGCTAAAAACAACGACAAACTAAAGAACCACAATTGATTAAAATTCCTGTTTTGTTAATTTTCTTACATGGCTCATATACTTAATATTATTAACTAATTTCTATCCCCTATAAGTGGACAATACATAATACTTTTTCCAAAAATGTAACATAGTTTTTAAAAAATGTTCAAATGTCTTTAAATCAGTTATCACAAATTTCGGGTTTTTCTCTTTTCAAATGTTTTTTTTTTCCTTTTTGAAAACTTAAATTAAAATTTAACAAAATTTTGCTTTTAACATAATTATTTGAAATAATTTTGATTTTGTATTCCTTATTAAATATAGAACATTTTTCTATTATTTTTAATTTATTTTTACCACTAGCTACACGTACAAACACATACAAATATTTATAGATTTTTTATTAATACATATTTTTAATACAATCTTTACTCTGTTTACGGATTGGTTTTTAGTTTTTTTATTATTTTTTTTTTTTAGGCAACACATAGCTTATATGATTTCTTCTAATACTCAACATTTATATATAAACATATTTATTTGAACAACAATACACAATAATTTCCATATAAATTATATTCATTTTTATTTATTTATTAATTTACTTTCCCTTTAAGATAATTATTGTTTCGTTTTTTGTTTTTAGTTTTATTCAGTTAGTGGATTAGTTTAAGTTCTTTTAAATACAGCACACATACACACACATGCACACACATAAAACATTTCTAAATATTTGGCTTACACATAGTTTTCATGCTGTTAAATCCATATATGTTTTGAATAATCCACTCGGTATTTTAATTCCATTTAGGTACATGAGTCTCTCATTTGTTTGTTTTTTATGCCTATCAAAATATAGTTACACATCATACATTTATATTGAACTGTGTACGTTTTTCACTCTACATTTATATATATGTATATAAATATTATCTAAATATTTACCTAAACATGCATAAAAATATTGGATTAAATCATACAAAACAAAAAGTTCTATAAAGTTAAAAATCCAACCTGTGCTTCTTTCCCAAAATATTATTCTTTTTCAAAATATTCTTTAAATAACATTTGCACTAAAAATAAACATTGTTTTGTTTTGTTGTTGTATATGTTATATTAATATATAGTATATGTATGTGTATATAGGGTATATTGTATATGTATATAAATGTATTTACCTAAATCTCCAACCTTATCTTCTTTCCATTGCATTTCCACATTGCTCTCGAATTGAATCGGTTGCGTTTCGAACGCTTCCAATTATAATCATTAGGTACATATAATCGGGGTATATATAAGTTTATCTATATATATATATATATATAGACACTTTTCTTTTTCAACCAAAAGTCGAGCCAATCCTTAACTAACAACTACGTTAACTTCTTTGGTAATTGCAATGAGTCTTTCAACATAATACTAATCATGAAAATAGAGCACATAAATCAGATATAACGAGGAACTATTGAAAGATAGTTTGTTTTTTCCATGTGTTTTATATGTAGGTACACGAGTGTTGATTACTATATAGTAAGTGTATTGCTAGGAAACATTTTCAGGTGATCGATCTTATACCCTTGCATTAATAATAACGCGTATATATTAATTCAAGATATTTTTGTATTTTAGTTACATAGTTTCGAATATATTCTTATTGAAAATTAAATAAACGAAAAATTAGTCATTGCCAAAACTTAATAGATTTACAATTTAAGAATTTCTATCGAAATCGGACAATTTCTCATATTTTTCGCATTTCTGAGAGATGTATTCATATTTAATGTACTTATTTATTTCTGCAAAGGTATTTAATCATCGGTAAGCCGAGGATAACTTTTTTGTTATTGTTCTCTAAAGACTGCTTATAGGAAACAGTATGTATATATGTATGTATATATATATTTATTTTTTTGGCAAATGTACATAGTTCATGAGAACTATTTAAATGTTCAAAAAATGTTGCAATTTCTTCCATTTGCTGTTGCTGTTCGCTGCCAAAGTAAATGTAATCCAAATAAATATTTATAAAATCTGCTTCTATGTAAACATCTAGGCATTTAACATTCATATATAGTATATGTATATATATATAGGCTTAGCTTAAACACGATTTTTTTCTTTGCTTAGCTCGATTTCTTTTAAATTATGTAGGTACATACTTAGAAAAATAGTGTTCGATAAGGGACCTATTTTATTTTTTATTTCTTAGTTATTGCTGCTTTCGTTTTGCTTGATGTTGCTGCCGTCTTGCTGGTTGTTGCTGTTTTTGTAGGACTGGTTGCTGTTGGCTTGGATGATGTTGTTGCTTTGCTGATCTTTGGTGACATATTGCTGCTAGAAGTGGTTGTTGCTGGTTTGCTTGTTTGGGGCTTGGTAGCTGCAGCAAGTGTTGTTGTCGCGGAGAGTGTTGTAACCTTTTTTGTCGGTGATGTTGCTGTGGGCTTTGTTGTTGCTGTTGTTGTCGAAGGCTTTGATGTTGCTGATGTGCTCGCTGAGCTTGAGCCGTGTGGTGCGTTTTTCACTGGGATTGCTGCTGTGTTGCTGGCGGCAACTGTTGTGGTTGTAAGCGTAACAATTGTTGCTGCTGGTGTGGCTTTCGTGGTTGGTGCTTTCGAAATTGCAGCTGTTGTGACAGTATTAACAACAATTGTTGTGGGCTTACCTGGAACAATTGGTGTTGTTGTTACAGTTGCTGTTGCTGGTTTAGTTGCAATCGTTGTAGTTGCTACTGTTAGTTTTTGTATGTCGCTGACAGTGGATATAGCTGCTGGCTTAGCTGCAACAGGTGCTACTGGAGGCTTATGAATGTTGGTAGCTGTTGCAGTTGGTTTTGCTGCTGTTGGATTACTTACAACAGTAGTTGCTGTTGTTGCTACTGGCTTTTGCATATTACTGGCAATTGTTGCTGTTGCTGCTGGCTTAATTGCAATATTTGCTGTTGTTGCTACTGGCTTTGGCATATTACTGGCAACAGTTGCTGTTATTCCTGGCTTAGTTGCAGCAGTTGCTGTGGTTACTACTGTCTTTTGCATATTACTGGCAATTGTTGCAGGTGATGTTGTTGCTGGCTTAGTTGCAATATTTGCTGTTGTTACTACTGGCTTTTGCATATTACTGGCAATTGTTGCTGCTGCTGCTGGCATAGTTGCAGCAGTTGCTGTAGTTGCTACTGGCTTTTGCATATTATTGGCAATTGTTGCTGCTGCTGCTGGTTTAGTTGCAAACGTTTCAATTGCTACGGTAGGTTTTTGCATGTTGCTGGCAACTGTTATAGTTGCTGTTGCTGCTGGCTTAGTTGCAGTTGTAGTTGCTGTTGGCTTTGTTGCAACAGTTGCTGTTGCTATGGTTGGCTTTTGCATGTTGCTGGCAGCAGTTGCGGCTGCTGTTACTGCTGGCTTAGTTGCAGTAGTTGCTTCTGGCTTCTTCATATTACTGCCAACAGTTGCAGTTGCTGCTGCTGTTTTGGTTGCAGTTGCAGCTGGCTGTGTTGTCGCTGTGCCCAAAGCAGCTGTTATTGTTGTCACTGTTTGTGGCTTCTGAGCAACAGTAACAGTTATTGGCGTTAGAGCCGCAAAAGTTGTTGCTGGCTTTGCAGCAACACTTGCACTTGGCTGGGTTATTGTTGTTATTACTTTTGTCAACATCACTTGCGACTTGTCAGCAGCTGCTGGCTTTGATGATGTTGGAGCTGCTGATGAGACGGCAGCAATTGTTGCTGTAGTTGGCGTCACTGTCTTATTAGCAATCGTGACACTTGGCTCTGATTTTGTTGACACGATTTGTGTTTTTGGTAGGGTTACAGCTGCAGTTTCAACACTGCCATTGCCGGCAACATAGGTATTTACATCTGTTGCAGCCATTTTACTATTATTGGCAGCAACGGCAGATGTTGTTATTGGCTTTGTGGCTGGCATAAAAGTGCTGGTTAGTGTTGGGCTTGGCTTCGTGCCAGCTGGCACAGCAGCAATATTGCTGTTAGCAGCTGTCGTTCTCTGTATAGTCACGTCTGCAGCAGCTGGCCCGCCTGTTGTAAATGTGCACATTGTGTTGCATTCACGTCCGCTGCTCATGGTGCCTGTGGCCAACACTTTCGTGGTGGCAGCAGTCATTGTTGTTGTTGTTGCTGCTGCTGCAGGCTTTGCTTGTTGCTTGCTTGCAGCTTTCTCTTTCTCAGCATGCTTAGTGGAACTGACCTCCGTTATGACCTTGACTTGAGCCGGTTGCTGTTGATTACTGTTGATGTTGCTGCTGTGATGCCTTGCCGATGTCTTCAATATACTCGGTCCCGGCAACTTGCCCACAGTCATTGGCAACACATCAACCGCGTCAACGGCCATCGCCGACGAGGCTGATGCATTAACCCGCTCTCAGAGTTGCATCGCCTCATCCCGATAGCTGTTGCCGTTGTCATTGTTGCCATTCACATTGCCATTGCTATTGCCCGGAGCAGCAGCATCCTCGTAGGGCGTCACCTCCAACGGTGGTGCACCACTTATCAGTATTTGAGTGTTCGTCACACCATCGTAATTCTGACTCTGATAACGCTCGGCATGCAAATTGACACAGGGTCTGCCAGCGGGTCCCCATTCCGCTGTGGGTCTCAGCAGATGTTTGAGGCGATCTCGGAAATTGAGATGCTTGGGCGCCTTGCAGATCTGCTGTAAACCCACCACAAAGATGATAAACACCGGCAATAGACCTATAATCCAGCCAACTGTATCTGCCCAGATGGGATAAATGTAATGTCCATATTGGGCGGGCTTATACTCAACCCAGTTGAAGAACAAAATGAACTGCAAAAGAATTTCAGTTTACTTGAATAGAACATTAGCTGGAGAAGGAGCTTAAACATGGATTTGGGATTCTTAGGATATTGTTACATACCAGTAGCGTTGCTGGTGTAATATAGCGCCACATGGTGCCCCAGAAAATGTTCCATAGACGCGATCGCTTGCCAATCATGCCCTGTATATCGTTGAGGAAACGCTGCGAGCCATAGATCCAGGCAATCAAGACACACTCCGATATGGCTATGAGCAACACCGACCAGTTTGCCGCATATTTATCCATTAGCTGCAGCCAATACATGCCACTCTGAGGAACATCAAAATGAATCAGACAAATTTAATATATTTAAGTATTATATGCTCACATTGGTGGTGAAGCCCAATCCGCCCAGGTAGCCAAATATGCCCACGAAGAGCACAACCCATGTTTTGTATTGTCGCAGATTTGGAAACTTGTCTAAAATGGCAGTAGTTACGGTCTCCATTAATGCAAACTGCGAGTCCAAACCCAACGTGAGCAGCATGACAAAGAACAGTATCGACCAAACTGGCGAGATGGGCAGACGAGTAACCACCTCCGGATACACAATGAACGCCAAACCAGCACCCTGATCCACAACCTTTTTCACCTCCACATCTAGCTCGTGTGCCAGAAAACCAATTATCGAGAATATGACCAGACCCGCAAAGAATGAAGTGGCTATGTTGCAAAAGGCCACAATCAACGAGTCCCTGAAAGTGGATGAGATATTCGTCTTAAAGTTAGGTACATATAATAAGCAGGTGTTGTTGATTAGCTAGTATTATAAGGTTATAGATTTTTGATCTTTTTAAATGTGTTTGAATAATAAATCCGATCGAAAATCAGAGGATTATAACTATTTTCGAAGTCTACAGAACTTTGGGAATAAGATCTGTTATAGGCTCTAAGTATATCACACTTACTTATAGCAATTATTGGAGAACTTATTATATGAAGACAATGTGATGAGTCCACCCCAGGCGGGGCTGAGTGCAAAGAAGATCTGCACAGCGGCATCTCCCCACACCTGAAATACACAATAAAAACGTCTGATTAAGATTAAAGATTTAGAGTTAAAGTTGTCCAGGCTGTCCACTGACCTGAGCATTTGCCAGTTGCTTCCAATCGGGCGTTAGATAGAACAGAATCCCTGTGCTGGCACCTGGCAGGGTAACACCACGAAAGAAGAGTATGACCAGCACCAAGTAGGGAAAGAGGGCGGTAAAATAAACGACCTTGCCAGAGGATTGAACGCCCTTGCAGAGGCACAGAAAGACAATGACCCAGGCCAGAAACAAGCAGGCTGCCAATGAGTACTTAATGCTGCCCGTTTCCTCAATGCCCGATGAGAGGCCCAACACAAAGTTGCTGGGAATGAGAATGGAAAGGATTAAAGTTTACTTAATATATAGTTGCTGCTCAGTGTAAGAAAAGGGTTGCTTTCACTTAAGACTTCGACTTAGGACATTTTCTTGCTATCAATCAAGAAGTATACTTGAACTTTAGAAAGACTTCAATAATTGTTAATATTTAAATGATATTGTTAAAAGAAACTTTGTCATTGAATACATACTGAATTAAGGTTTACTCACTTGAAATACTCCTCGGCAGGTGGACGTTTCAGGGCATGTAGCGCCATTTCGGTTATATTGTGCTCATCGGCATAGGTGGCATTGTAACAGGTGCGCAGATAGTAGGTGCCATTGATAGACTCACATTGATCCGCCATCACGTAAGAGAAACAATCTGCAAGTGTCATCAACTCTGTTAGTACATTGAGCTAAATAAACACACCACAAAAAAAAGGATATGCCGCTGGGGCAATTCAAGTCGACAGTCGCTCAATTATGCAGAAAGGGGGCAGCACTTTTTTAATATTTATGAACTATTTGTCGGACTCAAAAAAAACATCAGAGAGAAAGAGAAAAAGACAAGGAAATGGCAGCTCTGAAAAATAGGGCTCGTGCGGAAGGACAATAAAGCAGTGAGTCGGGCGACTTTTGTGCGGCTCCATAATTAAAAGGACAAAGTAGCAAATCTGGCAAAAAAACATGAAAAGGGTTTGGTGGCAAGCACATTGTAGCTGCTCCTCGTCGCTGCCAGTGTGCAAACAAAAACAAAATGTGACAAACAATTGCTGTGGTATGCGACTGTGAGATACCCTGTATAACACTGAATAGTTTTTATTATCTTACTGTTTAGGGTATCTGCAGCTCGTATGGCCTCTCGGTACCTTAAATATGTAGAGCTTAAGTTCTCGCTTACTTACGTAAGCAGTTCCGCCTCTGTATCCATAATAATATAAATAATATATATTACCTTGAGGTGCCATATAAAAAATAGATTAAGGCCTCAAAAGCACTTTTATTCTAACGTTTCTGTTAATTACCGTATTTAGAATTCACGAAAGCCAAGCAAACACTTTGAAGACACTTTCTATTATATAATAATTTTTCTTTTTTATCAACTTTTATACAAGAGTAACACTTCCTTATAGTCTCATTTACAGTGTATATGTAAAAGGGTTAAAATGTCGAAGGGACCGTCACAGTGGGCCCGCATAACAGTGGATCTCTCTGTCATTTTGTAGGAAGAGCTCCGTTTGTTGACCCAGGCCTGATTAAATTTTGAAGAGCATGCTTTATTAAGTTGAGGCGAAAGCAAATCGATGTTGGAATGCGATGGTGGATGGGGTCAAAGGTCAATAGAAATGCTGACACAGTTGATTAGAGGCAGGGCTTGAAATTTGTTTTTTATTATAATGGCATTAATACCAAATGCAAAAGGATTCCAAATGGATTTAAGTTGATTAAGCCACGTTGAATATATAATCTGAGTAGCGATTATATATAATAAAAATTCTGGCAGTTTCGTTTACTTTTTTTTAAGCTACTTATGTGAAGGCATTATTTGAGCATGTATCAAATATTTTAATCTGTCCGCTGCTTTTACTGCTGTCCACTCACGAAAATTGGTAAGAGACCGCGTTGTTTTAACTGGTATTTATAGCTGGCGCTTTTGCACACCTGGCTCGGCCACATGTTGGTGGCCAACAGGGGCAATATGCTTAATACAGTAGATGTCACAATGCAACGTCAGCAACTGTTTATGACATTTGACTTGTGAAGCTCGTCGCCTGCCACATGGGGCATGGGTGGGAGTTTTTTGCCTAACAAAAAGTTTGAGCTCATGTTTATGAGTTTGGTGGTTTTGTGTCTGTTCTGGTATTAGTGTGTCTGTCTATGTGTGTGTGCCTATTTGTGTGTGCAAATTTCAAAGTTTTTCGGGTCTTTCAGTTGACTAACGAGGCAAGCGGTTGACCGCAAAATGACTAACTGAATGCTGCCAAGTTCTAAAGTTAGAATCCGCATTCTTTGTTTGCTCTTGAAATGAAATAGGGCACCGAGTGTGCGACTGAGTCAAGGTGCATCATGCCACTTGGCCACAACGGTCCACTTGCCTAATGGCCCCTTAATGTACAACTACCAAATAAGGTTTTCTCATCCCCATCTCGCCACCAACTTTTGTGGTTTACCAATTGAAAATGTGATATTAATTCAGTTGCCCAGCTTATCTTGTGTATTTTCGTTTGTTTTTGCTGCTCGCTGCTCGCTTAAAATTTGATTACTGTTCAAGTTTTAAGCAGAAACTGTTCAATTTGCAAACACGCAGCACAACACTGGCAATTGAGTTTATGATTCCGTAGTTGGCATGCAATTAATTTTCAAATTTACCCATGCAGTCCACGTAGCTGCCAATAAAGAGCAAAACAACAACCAAAACAACAGGCACATTTACAATTTGTGTTTGTGAACGGTGAGAATGCCAGTGTAAGTTGATTACAGTTCAAACAGACCTGTTTCCTCCGAATTTAGGCCAATTGATTACGTGCCCCAAAGTGTGCCCTTGTCAAAAGTTACCCATGTTAAAAACCCGGTACAAATTATTTAAATTTCAAATGCTTTGAACACATTTTTCTACCATATTTCATAACTTTAAAGTCGATTTCTGACATTGATTGGAAAATCAATTTTAACATCTAAAAAATTCTTCATAATTCAATTAATTTGAAGAACAATTTTTAATTTATTGCTTTTTAGATGTCTAGAAACCGGAGAATTTCCATACAATTTTGCTATAAATGTAAACTTCTTGTGGAAACTCAATTCGCATAAGGAATTTATACAATAAAGTTGAAAACTATTGAAAATGATTTACGTTTCAAACTAATGAAAGCTGCAAAATATTATGAATTTTTAATGTGTGAGGCTTGTAACTCCATGGAAATTAATCAAAAAGGCCTCGACATGTCGACAATCCGACAACTCGACAACCCAACTCAATCAGCGTTTATTCATTTGCCCGCGTTACTCATACGACGCATAGGACCTATATACATATAGAAGGCGCTTCCTGGATGAGGTGGAGGTGACAGTTAAGTCAAGGTTAAACATATGGTTCCACATACCACATACCACACATACACACACATATATATATATGTATGTGTACAAGTAAAAGTCGGTTGCTTTTTACAGCACACACCGCATATCCATCATCTAATCAATCAGCATCAAAATGGAAATCAAATGCGCCACAGCTAGAGAAAATTGAACACACAAGTTCCTTCTTGTGGTTGGTGTTTATATTTCTTATTCCATTTTTTTTTTTTCGTTTTCTTTTTGTGGGCGGGGTAAAGCTTCAAAGTGTTTACACGCCGTTTAATTTGCCTGTCTGCCTTTATTTGTTATGCAATTAATTTTATTACAAGCATACACCCCACACACACACACTCACACACACAGGATGTGACAGGACCCGTAGATACAAATCATATAAAACTTTATGTGAATGCGGCATCAGGCAAAAACTGTCTGCCTTTCAATTTGGGTAACTGGAGCGTGTCTACTCAGCCAACTGTGCATCTGTATGTGTGTTCTGTATGTTGTGTGTGTGTGCATTTTCATGTCGGCATCTTACATTTGATTACAAACACACACACTCACACACAGAGATAAGATTCTTATATAAGCCGCTCCCAAGTCGACTAGCACACACAGGAAATTGCCATTAAATTTTGCGACCTTTAAGTTTGATGTTGGGCAGCAGCCTTCAAGTTTACTTCTTTTCTTCTTTATTATATATATATATTTTTTTGCTCTTCCACAAGTTTTGTACCATACCCACAAAATTTGGTCGGCACATGTTTGTGTCCATAACATCAGTTTGATTAGCTCCAGCAAACCTTATTGACCCAATTAGAAGTTATAACCGCAAATATAAACACACACACACACATGCTGTGAGTTTAGTGCAACTTTATGTGATTGGATGGAGGAAATACGGCTGGTCTAAGGAAAGATCCATTAACTAGTAAATAATTCAATAATCGATATAGTTATCCGATTCGCTTTACTACGCTATTTATCCCCATTTATGTAGAAGAATTTATTTTAGTTGTTGTAATTTTGTAATGGGGAATTTCAAAGTTGAAAAAATACAGATATATCACTTTGTAACTATCAGATAATGTTGTCCAAACTAATTCTGAATTAATCTTCTCCAACAAGATAGGTTTGCCATTAAATGAGAGAAGTACAAAATAAATTAATTCTTATCTATTTCTGTTCATTTTCCGGTGCGATCTCCATCCCAATTTCTATTTTCTTAAATATGACACATTTATTCACTAATATTTCCAATTTCTCTAATATTTGCTTAACAATAAAATAACACTTAGCAAATAAAGGGAGACCCATGAAAACATGAAATAAACCAAACACAGCCTGTTATGTAAGCACTTGTACTTAAGAAGAAAAAAGAGGGAATATCCCAGCAAAATATTGACAGAAAAGTGTTTGTGTTGTTGTTATTGTTATTTAAGTTGTTGCTATTGTTGCTTTTGTTATTGTTGTTGTTGCTTATGTTTGTGTTTGCTTTTGTGTTTTTAGGGTCAGAGGCAAACTAAGGCAGAAGGCGGCGTTAAGTGTGCAAGATATTCAATCAATGGACAAACAAGTTAAACACATTTTAATCATGAGGCTAAAAGTAAACATTTATCATCTAAAAATTCCATGAGACGAGGTCGTCACGACGACAACGATGACGACGAAGGTGAAGAGGATGACCAGAAGAGGCCAAAGCCACAGACGAGACGAGACGAGAGGTGAAAGTGTCAATAAATGAAATCCTTAAGAAATTGCTTGTCTGCCACAGAGATTGCGGCTGTGCTTGTGAGAAAGCATAGCTAAAAAGCTGCGGCAAATGGTTGCCAGCCGACGCTTGAATGTCAAAAAGTGTTTAGGCATAATTGTTGTCGCTTTAAGCATCTATTTTTGCCAGCCATAAAAAACAAGCAACATCATCGTAGGTGTAGCGAAGCAAACAATGAAAATCGCATCCATTGCGCATATCGATTACATGAAAAATAAACTATGAGTTCCTGTTTTTTGTATACCCTTTCAAAGTATTTTATATTTGGCTAGTATATAGATACTTTCTTAAAGGCATCAACAGTTGCAGTTCAATTGCCTTCTAATTTATGAAACATATTTCGAAGAGTAAATAAAATCAGAACTTGATATTTAAAGCATACATTTTGTTTTGTAGATTATGTCAAAATTAAATAAGAAAAATCTATAATTGAATTACTTATTTATTCATTTTTCTTAAACTTCAGTCTGGAAGTGCATCTAAGCTTCGGCATGCTGTTAACAGCAGTCTGTGTTGCTTTTTTGCTGCTGCTGTTGCTGCTGCTTCTTCTTTAGGCAATAGCTGTGCATCAATGGCATCCATATTAAATCAAGTAGGCTAACGCAGAGGCGTGGCAATTGAAGGGGTTGCGCCGAGCTGTGAGCAACCGTTGTAGTGTTGGGTAGTGGCAGCTGTGCTGTTACAGCTCATGCAAAAACTTTCAATGGCGTTGGCTGTTGCTGTCGCTGCTGTCGTTGTTGCTATGATTATTGCTTGTACTGTTGTAGCCTGTATACAGTAAGCGCCACTTGAGTCTCTGCGTGCATACGTGTGTGTGTGTGTGTGTTTAAGTGCCACTGAGGCAGCCGCAATAAAATAAGCAAAGTATGCAGCGAGCGGGGGCATATAAAAAAAACAGCAAAAGATGCTGCTAAATTTTCTCTTTTTACTCAAGTGACGAATGTTGGATACTCTGTTATTTTATGAGCATATAAAAAAATGAAAAGTATTCGAGAAAGTGAGCTTAATTTATAGTAAAGTCTTTCCTATTTTTAAAATAGTTTTTTAAGCCATTTTAAAAACATTTTTTTTATTAACAAAATACATTCGAAACTTTTGCATTACATGCATACGACTTTTTGAATAGTTATTAACTAGATTCATTTCAAAGTTCAGCATAATAAACGTACGAGCTATAAACACAGATTATTCCTTAGCTATTTTTTATGACTTCACAAAGTTGGCTAAGCCTACATAACTGTCATAAGTTGTCGTATAGACAACATTTTGCCACCTAGTTCAAACAATAACCTTGACTGCCTGAATGCCACTCCACAGTTCACAAAGACTCGTTAAAGATTTATGTCTTTCGCGTGGCAGAAAGAAAATTTTAAATTGTGTCTGTGTCTGTATTTGTGTTTGTCTTATTCTAAAGAAATCAAATGCACGCTTAAGCGCGCACAATATGCGCTACAGCCGCAGCTTTTGCTCTCAGTCTGCCACACACACACACTCAAACACACAGAGAGAGGAGCAGACACACCTCTGACAATGTCAAATGGAAACCCAACGAGCCACAGCACAAAAACAATTGCCTACTTCAAGGCGCTGTCGTCCTTTTCAGCAAGCGTTTGGCTTGCCTACCTCGGCATTATTGTTGGCGCTGTGTATTATTATCATCTTTTGCACAAAAGTTGCTTTTTATTGTTTACGTGTGCGTAAATTGCAAATGAATAAAAACCTTGCCAGTTTATTTGCTGGCGGACAATAAAATTGCTGTTATCAAGCTCAAGTTATCGATATCAATATCGATTTATGGGCATAATATACTGCTTAATAAGAGTCAGGTCGAAAATATATATATATATCCACCTGAAAAGCATTAATTGTGTGCATTCACCAGCTACATATATATAAGAGCAGCATCAATTATGTTTAGTGGCTTATTAAATTTACTATTTTCTCTGTGAGTTTGACAGGCCTGACTAAGTTATTCACGCCACGTATGGCCAAAAGTTTGGTACGAAACAAAAAAAGTTTCACATATGACAGCTGGCAATTTGCTTAATCTATTGCCAGAAAGAAATAAGGCAAACAAAGTGCTTTTGTCTTGATATTGTACTCACGCTCTGTGCTCCACTCCGGCTCGCAGTTCTGCCATGGCAGCTGTGTGCGAAACGAGGCGAACATATAGAATATAGTCCAGGCAATTATTAGATTGTAGTACAGCATCACAATCGCCGAGACGATGATCATGCCGGTGCCGAGTCCACGGAAGAGCGGACAGAAGCGACGATATATGGCCACAGGACCCAAGGCGGCGTACTGGCCAAACGAGAGCTCCATAAACATTAGCGGTAGTCCCGCTATGATTAACATTATGGTGAATGGTATAAGAAAGGCGCCTGGAAGCATAGCAATATTATAGAGTTTAAAATATTAAATAGTAATTGCTGTAATTGGGAACAACTTGGATATCTCGAGGCCATCATCATTCTTGAGTTATTAAGTGATTACTTACCGCCTCCATTATTGTAGCAGAGATATGGAAAACGCCAGACGTTGCCCAGCCCCACCGAGTAGCCGAGGAGTGAGAGTAGAAAATCAAAGCGACCCGTCCAGTTACCACGTTCCGGTTCCGCTGTCTCAATGGTGACCGCATCCGCGTCGAGTGTGACCAGCGCCGTGCCCGAAGCACAGCCCGCAATGCTGATGGCTGTGGGTGTGGTGCTGAGCTGTGGTGGTGTCGCCACTGTCACATCTTTCCCCGAAGCACTCGCTGTTAATGTTAACGTTGCCGCATTGCCGGGACAAACTACGCCCACACCACCAGCGCCAACACCAGCACCACCACTGCGACCCCCGCCAGGAGCTGTTGCTCCTCCTCCAATCGCTGTTGCTGATGTCGCCTTGTTGTTCTGGGCTCGACGCTCCGAATTGAATTCACAGCTGCTGAAACGATCCTCATTTTGCTGCAAGGGATTGGTGAGAATGTTTTGTGGTCCAGTTAGTTAACCTTGCGTGACAATCACTTGACAAGCGACTCGCCTGGCCAGCTGCCAGGCAAACGAATGAACAATGAATGGCATTTGGCCTCATTAAAGGCAAAAGGCAAAAATCTGCTTGACACAGAAGTTATTGTGCCCTTCAGCATCGCAGTCAATTCAAATTGAATGTTTAAGTTGTGGCTTATGCTGGCTTATATTGTTGCTCTTAATATTGATATTTTTGGAACAACTGTTGCATAACAGCGAGTGTTATTTAATATAATAATTTATATCAAAAATGAATTCATAAAACTCTCTGTTCTTCTGAATATGATTACCAATTGAATACGCATATTTGTATACATTTATTTACAATTTAAAAATTTAACTAAGTATTTAAGTGAACACTTGATTAACACTTGATTTCTTTAATAATTTTAGATTTTAGTTTAATATTTAAGATTCCGTATTCTGTATATCAATATTCTGAGTTTGATTACCCATTACACATACATATTTAACATTCTATTACATAATACTCTAAAAATATAGAACATTATCAAAACAGTTTTAAGTTGAAGCTCTTACCTCCCATAGATCCACATCCAGTTTGGTGCTGGACTCTTTGTTCGGCTTGAGGCTTTTCGTTTTAGATTTGGTCTTTGATTTCTTATCCATGGTGGTTCGCACTTGTTGCTGCTAATTGCATGCTATTCTCTGGCTGTATCTCTGTGTGTGCGCTGCTTTTTGGGGGCACTGTTTCGTGTGATTTATGTCAGTTGCTTCATAAATTCAAATTTTGCTAACAGATGGCTCTCAGTTGTGGCCTGGCCTGGCGGCCCTCCTGGACTGGCCTTGTGTGCTATTTGTTTTTGTTCTGTTTTTGGACGTGGCAGCTAACGGTAGCCCCCTTAGGTCATAATTGTGGTCTCTGCAAGAAACAAAAATATCATTTTCGGTTAATGATGCTGGGCAACAAAGGAGATTTGCATATCTTCGTTCAGATTGCGTTAATAATATTTTAATTGCAAATTTCAAGTTAATTTAGTGGGTGAATTAATTCACATATATATTTTTCAATTATTATTCTATTTCCGTATTTGTCAAATTTTGCAACTCAATTGTCATAATTTAATAAGCACTGTTAATTAGCGCATGTTGCCAACTATTCAAAATCCATTCATGCACCGCTTTCATTAGTCAGATTTCCATTTCCTTTCCCATCTGCTGCTGCCGCTGCAGCTGCAGCTGGTGTGAAAATATTGGTATCGAACTGCCATCGATTCATTTCATTTTGCACTTCGACTGACATTGAAAAGAGCAGCGAGCAGTGAGCAGAAAAAAAAGTAATAATATAGAGAAAACCTTCACATTGACATTCAAAAAGAATGAAACTTATTTATAGTATATATGCACAAAATATGTCCGTATATATATTTTAAATTAACTCAATTGATGCTGATGTGGGCGGGCAGATAGCAGAGGTTACAAGGGCGCCGGATATATGGATATATGTTTACATATTGCTGAAGGTTTTTTACCTTTCTCCACTCTTTCCCTCTCTCTCTATCGCTCTCTCTTAGTCTCTCTCTCTCTCTCTCTTTCTCTGTCTCTCTCACTTGGTTCGTTAACAAAAGATTTTGCTCAAGGAAATATGAAAAAAAATACATTTATCCTTGATGCAGATTATTGTACTAGTGCAGTAAAATGGAAATGATAATATGTGTTACATTTTAGTTACGAAAGTGTTTTCCATGCAGTTTTTGTAAGCAAGGATGCGAAAATGACAAAACACCAAACATATCAGTAATGCTATCAGCTTGTTAGCTTGTCAGAACTTTTGAATTTTCAACGAAAGAATAGAATGTATAGATAACGAATGAAATTATATCATCAAATATTTATATGTATATTTTTCTGTATCAATTGCATTCGTTTCTCATATTCTGTCGCATTTAATTGGACAAAAGTATATTTGTTTAAAATATTTTATATTATCAAAGAAAAACAAATATATTTTTCTGCATTCAATTCTATTTCCTTCTCAACGCTGACATATTCTATTCTATTTACTTAAAATATTCATTAAAACAGAAAAATAGAATTTGAAATAAATTTTTAAACCACTTTTTTTTAAAGTCAATTTATAAAATTTAATAGGTTTTTCCGAACTATTGCTCAACTTATTACGCTTTGACCAATTTACACGAAGCCTTCCAAGATTAATGAGTGCTTGAGAAAATGACGTGCCGTCAATGACACTTGACGCTGTCGGTTCACACACTTGCACAAAGCACACACACACACACACACACAAGCACACACACACACATAGAAATGTGTGTGTTTTTGTTGGCACCATAACACGATGTGATGTTAACTGTTAGATGTGATGCAATGAGATGAGATGAGATGAGATGTGTAACGATGCGCCCTGTTGTATAATACCGATCCCCTCTCCCCAATCCCCTCTCCTCGCCCCCAACATCCTTTCAGCTCATAGTGTTTTGGTCACGTTTTTATGCGCCATTTTGCCTTTGAGCTTAAACGTAGCTTTTGTTTTTGCTCGACTGTCTGTGTGGCAATATGTTGACAAGTTTGATAATTAGGCATCCAAATGTGCATTTAAGTGTGTGTTGGGGGTGTGAACGTTTTTATGTTGCTGATGAGGTTGCCCGTAGCTAATGAGCTGCTCGCCAACCAGACTGCAACTGGTTTATGGTTTATGTCAGGCAGTTGTTGTATGGGCGGACAAGCATTTGGCATGCTTATCAAGTTATTTCATTAGGTTAGCGCTTTAATTGTTTGGGAATTTCAATTCTAATTTGATGCTTCTGTCAATTCAAATTGTTTTCTAGATTTAATATCATTTGGACAAAATTTAAGCTACTATCTAAAGTAATTAAAGTACGTAATAAGTTAATTGGTAGTTGTTATTTGATGTTTGTTATGTAATTATGGTATTCACCGAATAATCGAATATATCTAAAGTACATTTTTGTAAAACTTTTCGATGATATTCTTCAGCATGATGATAGTTAATCCCCTCTACGATTGTGGGTTGCAACAGTTTTAGCCATAGAATTGGTTGTTTTTACGAAAAGCATTTCTGATGTATATAAAAATTGTATTTATTTGTTTAGTTTATATCATATACTTATTAATTCATTATATACATCATAAATATGTATTAAATTTGGTGTATATTTGATTTATTATCATATTTTATATGTAAATTTTTGTTATTGTTCTGTTATTGAGGCTTTAAAGCGTATTTGGCATTTATACTTGTTCTGGCTTTTAACCACATTGCTGCTGTATTATTTGTTATTGCTGTTTCTCTTTCATGGGCCTGTGGGTGGGTGGGCTCTTGGGACGGGAAAGAGGGCCTCTGAGGCAGAGGCAGAGGCTGTGGTTGCAGCTGCGGCTTTTGTGCTGTGGCATTTGCTTAGCAAATAGTTTTTAATGATTCCAATGCCTGCGGCCAGTTTTCGTGTATATATATATATCTATGTATATATATATTTATATATATAACGCTAAAATCCCCATCCCCTTAACTTGACAATCCCACTCGGATATATAGGACAACAACAAGGACAATAGTAATCGTTTGGCTTTGTGAAAATTGTGCGGCATTTGTTGCAAATAGTTGAAATGTCTGCTGGGTGGCGGGGGTGTTTGAAAGCTAGTTGTTTTAGTGTAGCTATTAAGCTGTTAACATCCAGTTACAATAGCATTAAGAATTCTAACTGTTGTTCATTGATTTATTCGCAAATACACAGCACAAAAGTTGGTACAAGCTCAAAAAAAAGGGAAAAAAAAAGTAAAGTGGTTGGGGGAAAATTGCTAAGCGTATTGCAAAAGTTAAAAGTTTTTGCTCGTGTTTTTGTTTATCGCTGACTTTCTTGTTTTTCGCGGGAAACACAAACTTTTCTCAAACTTGTCTTAGAATCTCTTTTACCAGTATTGCGCAACTGCAAAGATGGCTCATAAAACTAACAAATAAATCAAGTTAACCTTGCAAAGTCGAGGCTGAAATGCTCTTTTAATAAGAAGAACTGTTTATGCATAATTCTAAGAACACTTTTGCTAGCTCTTAAGACTTTCTTTTATTCTAGAAAGATTTCATGCTAAATTTGATATAATGCAGTCTTAACTGATTTACGTTATTAAATGCGTAATTCACTTCATGATAAAATCAAAATGTCCTCTTCAAAATTATTTAAATATAAGTTTGCAGTAGTTTTTTCAACTTTATGATTTGCCATGCTGCAGCAATGCTTACTGCAAATGCAAATAATGTGGAAGTTTAGACAGCTAATGCCTATGCTTGTCTCAAAGTAAAATAAAATATATAAAGACAAGAAACTCAAGGCAGAAGTGGTAATTAAAAATGAGGCTTTTAAATATTTGTATATAATTATGAAAATCGTACAAATAAAACACATCTATCTACATGTGCCAGAAAATTACTTGAAAACGATAAAGATTTAAAAAAAAATGCAAATAATTTAAGCATGGAGGCCATAAGGCACTTATATTTGAACATTTACAAGCTTAAGTTGCCAAAAGGGAATTCCCCAAAAAGTGAGAAAAAATAGAGGAAAAAGAGAAATGAACGCCCAAAACAATTACTCATAACAGCTACTTACTATAGCCGTTTCAGTTGTATTGTTGGCAACACAAGCACCAAACACAACCACAGACACAGACACACCCGCACACCCGCACACACACACACAGGCAGAAACGTTTACAAAAGTTTACAAAAGCCGATTGCCATCATATTTCAGAGTTGCCAGATGTTTGCAGCGTTGCCAACAAAACTTGCTGAGAACTTCTTAAAGTGCTGAATCATGCCACAGACACACACACTCACACACACACACACACTCACACACACACACACACTCACACACACACACATATGATATAATTATTGTTCAACGGCATCTCCATAAATATACAAACATATGTTAGTGTGAGTGTGTTAAAAGCCCCAAAAGTAGCAATTAAGTGTTACGTATACGACAGGAGGTGCCCCGAAGGATGTTGAGACTAAAACTGGTTTTTATGGATGGGTTTTTTTGTGTTTTTGTTGTGTTTTTGTTGTGTTTTGTGTTTTAGATCCCAGTTTCGTTTTGTTTGGTCAATTCGAGTGTGAAAATGTTCTCGAGGGTTTTTCCCTATTTTGTGGCTGTTGTTGTTGCTGTTGTTGGTGCTGCTTTTGTTGTTGTTAGTGCAGCTCTCGCTTGTTTACACACAGGCTCACACAGGCACACACAGCCATTGACCTTGGGCTATGGTGCAATGTGCAAGCGCATGGAACGAAACGCATTGCTCGTGCCCCAGGGTCGCCAGTGTGGGCGTGGCTGATGCATTATAGCCTTTTTTATTCCAGCATCTTGTTTGGCCCCTAGCAGCGTTTTCCGTTTTGAACATTTCTTTTTTGTGTTCGTTTTTTGTTTTTCATTTTTTTTTCATTTTTAGTATACCCTTGAGTAGAAATGGCCACAATTGTAGTTTATTATATGAATTATTTAAGCTCGGGGGAAGCAAAATGAATCTATGCCTAGAGCTGCATATCTAAAACATCGATATGGTAAACGTTGTTAAATTTATGAGAATTTATTATAAAAGCATACAGCTAAAGAATTTGATGTCAGAAAAACTTCAGACAAAATATCTTTTACGCAAAATGTATAGTTGAACTAGTTAAAATAAAAACGTCAACTGTTTTCAATTTGATTAAGTGCAGAGTTTTTCTCTTTTCTATTAACTCGTTTTGAGCTTCGCATATTCAAAGTTCTTTGCAATTAAAAACTTATATTCTTTCTTGATAAAATTAAATAGATATGCTAAAATTGAATGAAACAATTTGGGTATCAAAAAGCACTTCTCCAGTGTTTTGTAAAAGTTTCTTGGCCCACTCATTTTTATTTATTTATTTTTTGTTGGCATTTCTATATGCACTTGTCAAATTTGTGCTGCTATTTGCAAATGGAAGCACAAGAGAATTTCATCAAGAGCAACATCCACATCCACATCATCATAATGATGATTGTAATCGTTTGTCGCCTTCATTCTCGTCATTTGTGTTGTGTTGTTGCACAATTCTGGGCAATTTTTTAAGTGGCCATCATTTTGCTGAGAAATGATTTGGCGGCACTGCGGGGTGTGGGTCGTGTAGAGTGAGTGTCGAAATGCTTGAACTTGATCCTACGAAGGCTGCACACAATCAACAAATAAGGACAACAGCCTCGACCTTTTGCTTTGCGATTCTCTGGCGGCATTTTGCATGGGGTTGCATGCAGCAGCTGCCAAAAAAAAATGAAAATATAAATAAAATTGAAAAATCAGCACGTAAAGCAAACTGCTGACAGTTTTCTTTCTTTATGTATATTGTTGTTGTTATTGCTATTGTCCTGTTGCTGCAGCTGTACAATCTAACAGTAAACTGATAGAAACCTGACCTGAGGCCCGGGCCATCCCCGGGGCAGTAATATCGATTGTTGAGCACTCTCGTCGAAAACCATTCGACAACGCATGCAAGTTCGCTTTTCAGCAATGAATTCCATTGAAATTCACCTGTTTGGAATGTATAAATGGGGCTGGTGTGGTCTGGAGGGGATCATCGCATGACAAAACAAATTTTACGAGCAACTGCATTTTTTTTTTTTTTGAATAACCTTTTCGGTTTGCGGTTGCCTTTCAGTGGCATCGTTTGTCATTTTTTATACCCTTTTTCCTTGGTTAAGTCTGCAACAGACTTTCAGCATGCTGAATGGGGGCGAATTATATGACATGAATATGTAAATGAATGGGTGTCGCCACAACTGTGTTGAGAGTTTAAGTTATTGTGTTTGTCTGAGATATGCTTATTTGATTAGTTAAGGGCAATATGGAACATTGTCTTCTTTTGCACATCTATCATATCCAATTTGTTTGACTTGAATTCTTACTTGATAACAAAAATAACAAAAATTTGTAGCTCAAGTAAAACATATTTATAGTATTCAAAAATACTTATAGTTATCCGGCTAGTTTTGCCCTAAGCTGTAAGACATTTTTTTCTTTGAGCGTATTTAATATTCAATATTCTCGAGAGCTAGCTGGCATTTCTCCTGCCTTTTTGTCGCTAACTTCAACTGCATAAAATATTCATGTGACTGAGGCAGGGCGCCCGGCGATGTCGTCCTTGACAGCTGGGTTTTGATCCTTGACGGTTGTTGGTAATCGCAAATTCAGCGCTAAATCTCAATCAAAATGCGCGTAAAGTGCCATTTCACTTAATTTTTATGAATTCAAAATGTGCCATTTGTGTTGATTGAAAGGAACTTCCCCAAAAAAATAAAAAAATAAAACATCAACCGAAAATGTTAAATGAAAATGGGGTTTCCAACGTGAGCTCAAGCTGAAAGATCCACGAAGAGACCATTTCTGATAGCTTTACGTTTCCTGAAATATTTTTAAAATTACTTAACAATATGCTGTCTGAGGAATGTGGCTGTTATATCATCAAATCGTTGCCACACATGTGCATACAAATTTAACTTTAACTTGACAAGCAGACGAGGAAACCAAATGCAATTTCGTTGATGGCAAAATGTAACTTTTTAAATTCGAAATTAAGGAAATTTTTACTATTTTTTTCAAGGACTGAACTGCTTGCAAATGTTATTTACATTTGCATGTTGCCCCCCAAAAAAATAACAGAAACTCGACTCGAATTGCATTTCCATTTAATTCGCTCAATTTGTCGCCAGTTTATTTTTTTAATGTCGCCGACTGTAAAAAAAAAATGCAAGCGTTGCCTTGCCTTGAAGACAAAATGCGCTTCATTTGAATTTCGAAGCAAATATGAGAATAACAGCACCAAAACCAACAACAGCAACGAGCAGAAGAAGAAGAGGAAGAGTGAGAAAAAGTGACAAAGAGTTGAGAGAAGTCCTGACATACCTCGGCTAAGTGAATTAATGCTTACGTGCGCCAAGTTTTTTAAGTGATGTTTTCATCTTTTTATACATTTTTTTTCTCTCTGCAATTCTTTTTACGTAGCGCATACATTTTGTGTATGTCGGTTCTTTTTTTGTGTTTAAAATTTGCAATTTAAATGTAATATCTCAACTGTTTGGTTGGCTTATGACAAGTGCAAGCGTACTGACTTAACAGCCATCGACAGGATGCAGGGGGAGAGGCTTGGGGGCTGTTCGTCCCCCTGTCCTTTGCATCAGATGTGAATGATGACCACAGATATAAACTGGAGAGGATGTGACACCAGTTTTGATTCCATTTTGAAGAGGTAACAAAGATGTTGCAATCCTCAAAAGTCGAAAGCACTGCATTTATTGCAACTCGTTCTCGTTTCCAATTGAAATTAAAGAGTCACGTTCGAGTATATTCATATTATTCATATATGTCCCAACTCTCTCTCTGTCAATCCTAAAAAGGCTGCCACATTTCATGGCTATGAAATTTTGTATAAATTTCAATAGAAATTTGTTCATTGGACTGCAAACGTTTTTGCAAAAATTCGCACGTTTTATGACAACATGAAATACAGCTTATATATATAAAATGTACATATCTAGATGCGTGCATGGAAAATCGGCAATATTCAACCAAAGCCTAGTAAAGCTGGCAAGCATTTGCTTTTTTAGGCGTTCACAGCCAACATATCATCAAGTTTGGCACGCAGCACACATTTTGGTTTTATATGCTTTTTCATTTGTTTAAACTACATTTATTTCGATATGAGAATTCAAAACTGATTAAAGTCCACATGTTCATTATTATGTTTTATATGTTAAATCGATCCGTAGACATAGACTTTAAGTAGTTGTTATTCTTGGTTGAAAAACTGTGATTTAAATTTTTAATTAAAATATATATTTAAGAAAATACATCAATAAGTAATTGTGAATTCCCTAAGGTAAGTATCTGGGGTATTCATGGATGCACAAAGAAAACAGTAATTTAATATAAACAAAATTCCTATATGAACATATCATCTCTGTGGCCAAGTCCAAATTGGGCACATTGCCCACATTTGTCTGACGCTTGAAAAGCAGCCAAGTGTTCCTCGGGTTTCATTGGTTCAGCAGCGACAACAGCAAGCCTTTATACAACTTTGGTGTTGAAATTCGGCTCTTCAGCTCATCAATTAAAATGAACAGCATGTTTCTATTGATCCAGTTATCCATCGAACAATAGTAATTTGTGTGCCGCTAAACCATTCTTCTGCCTTTGTTGGATAAGCAAGCCTGAGTTCGAGTACGCGTTTCGATTGTCGAGCAATACAAAAAACAAGCGCAATGTGCCAAATTTTAGATACAGATGAGGAGGAGCCGCTGTCCAATGCCATAGAAGTAGAAAGGCTTGATTTGGCCGCTTCTGATCCAACACTGCCAGAGCAAGTCAATTTTCCGCTGTTCAAGTGGCACAATAATTGCTTTTGGCGGCGATGACCTGATCAACAGCAACATGTTGTCCAATCTAATTGAATGTCTGGAGCAGCAGTCTGAAGCCGCCTGGTTGTTGTCTTGCATAACAATTGGGTGCTTCGAATCAAACCAATCAAATGGCTGCAGCTGGGGCCCCTCTTTGGTCAAATAGTAAACATATCCACTGTCAGTAAACAAGTCCTATCTTTGAAAATGAGGCTCGATTCTAGTTCGAAATTTATGTTCAAATTATACTTATACTTATACAAATTGTGGTCAAAACACAATTTTATCAATTGTGATCGGATTTTCAAAAACTTCAACTTTTTGATCGTTGCTTTATCTTTAGAAAATAGCAACATTAAAAGTTGAAAACGCTCAAAAATTGCTTTTGGAATGAATCAAAACTTTCGGCAGCCATAACTTTGTTAAATGTTGTTTAATCATGGCTTGCCCTCTACAAAAATTCTACATTCAAACTTGAAAACGCGATGCTGACTCAATTTGCATGTTCAAATTATGCTCCGACAATAAGCTTGGAGGAACGAGTGAAAACTTTGCACAGCCACAACTTTTCTGTTGGCGTTTCATTTGGTATTCGATTTTGTCAAAAAGCAGTCAATATTTAAATCATATTCGTGAAGCAGACGCTTATAAACTTTCTCCACTTCAGTACATATAGTATATGGCCATAATAGAAATCAATTGAAACTGGCTGGCGATGTCGCTGGCGCGTCGCTCGCACAACTGTTTTGTGGGATGTGTGGATGTGTGTGGGTGGTGGTGTTCTTCCGACTTGCCCAAGAGATAAGCACTCGAAGCAGAAGTTTTTGCTGAGACAGAGGCAGCCGTGGAAGTTGCAGTCATTTAGTCATTAACGAAATGGATTTTGGCCAGAGCACACGATGCATTTCCATTAGTTGGGCAATATTAATCATAGTCTGTCAGGCGACGAGGAGCAGAGCAGAGCAGAGTTCTGGCCAGAACTTTGTGCTCTATATGCCCGCACTCAATGCTGTCTACTGCAGTCATCGTGTCCTCTTTCTGACCATCCTAGGCACTTTATCTTTGACGCTGCTCGGCTGCGTGGGTAAGTGTTTTGAGTACTGTGTGTGTGTGTTGCAAGTCTGGTCAAGTTACACTGCTCGTTTAAGGATGCATTTGCTGCTGCTGCTGCCGTTTGTCGCGTCGCCAAACTGAGAGCCTCGACGCCTATGCTCCGAGAACGCAGAGTATTGTCTGGCCACCACTGCCGGAGGAAACTGCTCATGTGGTCAAAGTTACTTTTCTTCATGCACCCGGCGCAGTTGATTGCCTGTGTCGACGCTGCTATGAGGCAAGGAATATGCGATGCCTCGAAGATTGCCTCAACTCAACGGAATGTTGAGTGTTGTGAATGCTTTTTTGGACAAGTGATTTATTTTAAAATCATTTCTAAGTAACTATAACCACCATAATCGACGAAGGATATTACTTAAATAAATGTACAAAATGTATCAATAAACTTGCGCTTCTTCCTTATTAAAAGATCGTTTTAATTTTGTTATTTTATTTAGTTTAAATTCGTTGTGAAATTAACAAAATAGATTGCTAAATGAGAGGTTTTCCAAGAGCTTTATGATATGCTTAAGAATAATATAATTGCTCTTGGTTGATACAAGCTATAAATCAACATAATTAAATTGTACTTTCAAATTATATTCACAGAATATTTTTAGTTGCAAGACAAATACTTAAAATGTCAATTTAATTGTTATTTTCTCTAATAGACTCCGCTGAAAAACAGGAACTTTCTTGAATTTACTAAATTTATCAATTATCACTATTAATCATTGATAATTCGCAATTTGCGATTCTCGACTGAGTTAACTGACTTAAGAACTTAAGAAACAGATTCACAAGTGCTATACTTCATTTAATTGTACTTGTGTGGCAAACAATAACATATGCTCGGTGCCTGCCTTTGCCCGCAGCTGTTTTCGAGTTTAACTGAAGCTCAGCTAGCAGAAGGGCTAAGTCTTCATCACCAGGTTTTTGCCGGTTTAAGCTTTAGTTTGTGGGCTAGCACCAAGGCAACCACCACGGGCAATATAATAATACTAAATATGCTGTCGACACAAGAGGCAAGAAATATGGAAAAGTTGCTGCTGCTGTTGCTGCTGGTCTTGGATAATCCTGGTTTTATTGAAACCAACTTGTTGCCAGATTATTACTGGCCAAATGGGAGCCAGTCTGTGCAGGAGGACGATAATGTGACAAGTTATTCGAATGACTATGAAATTAATAGCGATACTAACGAAAACAGTAGCATTTTAATGTCTATGGATCTGCGCATGAAAATCGCATTCTTTGCCCTGATGATTCACATTGTCATCGTGGGTGGCGGTAGGTTTTCCATTTTCAAATATCAACGGGCAACTTGTTCGCTAATCTGGCAACTTTGGCAGGTATTATTATTTATAGCTTTGTTTACTGTAAATCGTGGTCCAATAACAGACGTCTGGTAAAAGAGACGAAGGAGTTAAAGCGTCGTCTGCAAAATCCACTCGCTGTGCAGCATTTGACCAACACACCGAATTGTCCCTGTCATGGGTGTCGTGTGGCAAGACAAATGCTGAACGGTCTGATTGTGCAACAGATCATTACGGAACGTTCAGAGCGCTAGAAGGCTGTAAATGTTAAGCATTGAATGTGTTCATGTTATTTATGCAAATTTTTGGGCATACTTTGATAGCTGTACGCCTGCGAGCTTGAAGCACCTTGTGCTATTCAAAAATATAATTGCAGCACCCTGTTAAATTGTGCTTGACCTGCTGTAAAGTGTGTATAGTGTAGATAGGCAAAATAAGTTTTGCTATCAGTGCTTAATGTGAATATGCAGAAATATAATTGTATGTAATACATTGTTGACCTGTATTTAGTTGCTCCACATATAAGTTGTTCGCCAATGTTATGCCTATCTGCATTCCTTAGAACAGCCAAATAATCATTTATTTGCTTATCCATTTGATCTGTTATTTAGCATTGCCAAAATTGTGCAGCACTGTAATCGATTGGCAAGAGAAGTTTTGCGATCGCAGCCAACTTAATTTGACGCATCATCATCTGTCAAGCTATTTGCACAATTGGAAAATTAAAAATGAATTATCAAGCAAAGAGTTTGTTTGTGTCAAACAAAGAAATGTTTCTTTCCGATAGCAACAACAATAGCGATGCGGATAGTTTGTACAACGAGGTGCACGAGACTCTGCCACCGTTAACATATCACGAATTGCCGCTGCTGGCGGCAAATTGCTCGGAGTACGCCGTTGCCCATTCAAATGGGAATTTGCAGCCGGCGCGTAACATGAACGAGGTGTGCTTCTTGCCGCACATACAAGAGAGCATGCGTCGTCTGCGTCTCGTGCAATTGCTGCGCCTGCAGAGCTATGCGTGGCCACATTTGGGACAGGGAGCCGGATATGGCGCTGTGATTGTGAGTGCGCCGAAAAGTGGGCGGACGTTGAGCTATGTGCCGCCCCTCTGCCAGCTGGTGTGCAGCGAACTGCAAGAGCAACGTTGTCGTCAACATCGCTGGAATCTGCATGGACCCATTGCGCTGGTGGTCGGCGCTGACTTGACGCGTCTCCGGCAAATTGGTGCGTTGTGCAATGCGATGCTGCGCAAGGGCAGAAACGAGGAGTGGTTGACGTTGGTGCTAACGGTATCATCGGCACGCTCCGTGGAGTTCTTTCAGCGACTGCTCAACGGCGTCGGTTGTCTGCTTGCGACGCCAGCTCAGTTTTTGTGGCTATGCGAGAATAATATCACATTGCCATCTTTGAGATTTGTCGCCTATGATGATGTGGATTTAATGCCGGGCGAGCAGCTGCAGCAGGCTCACAAACAACTGCTCGGTCTGGTCAAGCAGCAAGCTCCGCAGCTGGTGATCACCACGCAATCCTATAAACCACAATTGCTGCGCATGCTGCACGAATTTAATGCACATCGCCTGCTTCTGTTCGGGGATGTGCTCGAGGCTGCTATTTATGGCGGCGCTCGCATGCGCATTGATCTTCTCAAGCGGGAGGATAAACAGCAGAAGCTGTTGCATCTGCTCGAACAGCGACCACCGCATCTTCTACGCACCGTTATCAATTGCCAAACAGATGCGGATATATGTGAGCTGATGGAGATGCTCGAGGCACATGGCTATCGCTGTCTGCCTTACTATCAGACAGCTGATCTAACTGTGCGTGAGCATGTGCATCGCTGGATGCAGCAGACACGCGGCGAGCTGCTGCTCCGGACCGATCACTGTCCCGAGCTGGATATACGGCATGCGCACACCCTGCTCCACTACAGCATGAGCGATACATGGAGTAAGTTCAAGTTCAGGCATCTCACGTTGGCCGACAATCTGCGCAATTGCTTCAAGGATAGCCAATTGGAAGTGGAGTCAAAGCAAGGCGCTGAGCGGCACTTGGAGCAGAGTGAGCTATAAATATAAAATATATAACTAGAAATTTATACCTCCTTTGCATTTTTAGAATCACTACTTTCACTGGTTTTCCTGGACGAGAGCAACAACAATCAGTTGCCACGTCTCGTGAACTTTCTGCAAATGCATCAGGCGGTGGATGAGCGCGTGGTGCAACTGGCACGTCAAATACGCGATGAGCAGGAGCGCTCCAAGTGCAATGAGCCGGCGCTGTGTGATCTGCTGCTGAGTTTGGGCGATTGCAAGGATAGGCAGTGCGAGCAGCGCCATCAGCTGGTGCCCTGGGATCGTCAACTCTGCGCCCAGACGCCAGCCAGTGGCGATGTGAAACTGCAACTGATCCGTGTCTATTCGCCAGCGCATTATTGCGTACGTGTGTTGGAGCACTTGCCGCCGGGTGGCAACTGGCAGCCTGTGCCGCGTCAGGCAACGCTCGAGCTGCAGCTGCAGCTGTTGCAGTCGCAGGAGTGTGTGCGTCATTGGCCACCGGTGGCCAAAGAAATATGCGTTTATCGCAATGCTAATGGCTATGAACGTGTGCGAATTTTGCGCGTGGCACCCATCACCCAAGTGAATCTCTCACGCACCGATATCGCTGTGGAGGTGCAAGCGATGGATGTGGACACGCGACAGTTTAAGACAACAAGCGGCAAGTTGTACATCTGCCCCGAGCAACTGCGCGACAAGCCAGCCTTAACGATTGATCTGCGCATACTTGGCTTGGTGCCTTTCGCCGGCGAACGCAGCTGGCATGCGGCGGATGGCCAGCAGTGTGGCAAGTGGTTAGATGCTGTGCCCCAGCCCAATTTCCTGCAGGCCAGCATTGTTGTGTCATTGATGCACACACTCTTTGTGCAGGACTTGGCTGCGACGAGCTATGCGCCCAGCTTGAAGATGCATGTGCGCCGATTTACGATGTGTGCTCAGCTCAAGCGCGAACAATTGGCCAAAAAATGTGAGCTGGCAATTGCAAGACTTATGGAATTTTTGGAAAGAGACAAAGATTCTCAGGCAGTTGTCGAACCGGAGCCCGTGCATCCACCAAGCAACGTGGTTAAATTGGACACCATGGAACCACTCACGGGCAGATGTGGCTACTTTGTAAAAATGGCAATGCAGTTGGGCAAAGAGAATCGATTGCGCCAGGAGCGGCAACTACTCAAACAGGAGTCAACGGAGACAAAGGTTAGCTTAGTTCCAACTAAACAATAGTCGGCATTGTTAATTATATACTTTTTCTTGTTGGCAGCCTGCAAAGCCAGAGTCTGTGGACAGCGTTGAAGCCCTATACAGTTGCCTAATGAACTGCACACTGTTGGAGCTAACCGAGGAGCAACAGAAGCAGCCACAAAGCGATGTGCCCCAAACTCTGCTCAATCAAATCATGTTGACGGACATGGAGCTTCCAGAGTTAGATCAACGACCTGTGACTGCGGCTGTTCAGGACAAGCTGGAGAAAGTCATGACTCATGGAGAAACTCATGATATTCAATATCAGATGCCGGCAAATATTCGACGCCCCAAGGTGATTTACTATCAGACGCGTTGCACGCTTGAGTTGCAGATTATATTGCCTGAGGCGGAAATGGAATATGAGGCAGTACTGCAAAATGGTTCTTGCATTGCATTCTGGACAATTGCTGAGCCCGTTTATCAGTTTACATTGAATACCCATTGTCCATATCAGCAGCTGAGTCATCATATGCAGGGACGCACTGTCTATTTGAGCATACTCAAAACACTGGCTGTCATTTATCCACTTGATTTTGGTTTCTATCGATTTATGCACGCACATCATGAGAAACTGCATCTTTTGGAAGAGGCGCGTCGTGCTCGAATTGCTAATTTTGAAGCTCACCTCCTGCACAAGGGTTACATTAAGGGCAGAGTCATCAAGCGTGTAAATAGCTCGGATGAACTGAGTAGCGGAGATCAGGATGAAGATCAGTCATATGATCCTCGCCAAGAGCATGTGGAACGCGCTCGTGGCAATAATGAATTGAATTCTGATTAGGTATTCGTGCAGGAAATTTCTCCTTTTATACCATTTAATCATGTTTAGTTGTATTTAAATTTTACTACATTTGATTATGGATATTTGCCATATATGAATTCATTTTCCTATTATTTCTGCAACATTAAGCAAACTGACTTTCAAGAACTATTAAAAAGTATAGAATTATATAGTACTATATCTTACGTTAAGTTCCTATAGTATGTTATTGGATTACTCATGCACAGAGTATTATAATTTTTTTATTTCTAAAAGTTCAATTCCTTATTAGTATTTATTACATTTTTCATCAAGAGGACAAGCTTGGTATGTAGAGTTATAGTTTGATTGTCTGCTTTATAATTTGTATAGAACCTCAAATAAATCAAACTTTAACGAACGACTGTTTGTCTATACGAAAGTTATTTAAAAAAAAAATTATAATTATGAATTTTAAAATATAACGACAATTAAGAAGCGGAAAATATATCTATATGTTTAATTAAATTGATAGAGAAACAATGTGTTTTATCTTTATCATTATCTTTGATTATCTATTACTCCATTAACAGTAGTATTGAGTAATAGTTCCTCAACTATGAAAAAATATTTGGAAAATAACTTAAATGTATTGTCTAATAATAAATAAATGCATGGAAACCATTTACAGAAATGTATTATAATGACAATTTCATAAAGTATTTGTATATACTACATAGTCATCAACTACAAAAATAAGCGAAATAGAATTTTTCTTATGAATAGTTCAATTTTTGATGTATCATACCCATTGAAACTTAACCAATCAAATGCCAATTGTTCTCATTTCAATCAAAAGTCGTCGGCATTGTTTTTGTTGCTGTTGTTCTTGTTGCTGTTGTCGTTGTTGTTGTTGTGACTGTCACTCTGCTTTGTTTTATAGAAATGCAATGTGCATTTGGCTGACAGAACAGGTAAATGGGAAAACATAAAACAGAAACGTGGCTGTCATTTTTGCACAAGTGTTGCACAAGCCATGTGACAGCGTTAAGCACGACTACAAACTCTACTATATATGTACATACATATGGAAATATATATACTTCTATACTATATATTTTTATATGAAGCAAGTCAGCAAATGTCCTGTGGCATAAATAAGCTCTGCCTGAAAAACAGTTTGCGTGAAAAACTTTGCACTTAAAAAAAATATTGATTGTTGATAACCATCAACAATTCAACTATTTGTACATAACAGCCGAAAAAAGACTTGCATTTTAATAAAATTTAAATGACGGTAAACTGTAAACGCTGCCAAGCGTTTTTGTGCAAATATTGAATAACAACAAAAAATGGAATAAACGGTTCAGTTCCGACAATTTGCCAAGCATTTATTTCGCCACAACAGTGGTGTTGTAAGCCTAATTGGCATGGTTTGCAGATTCTTTATTGCAAATTCCACGAATTATTCAAATAAAAACAAAACTTAATTATTTTACAGTTAGTCAGAATTTTACGATTTTGGTTTATTAAATGCTGTGCGGAGTTTATTAAATGAAATATTTGGCAAAGAACTTTGAAAACTTTACTTGTCCAGTTAATTATCAGCAAACTTGCCATTGAGTCCTTTATTTTTAATTGTACAATTAAACAAGATAATAAATAATAGCCAAAGTGTGCAAAACTTAACATAAATTTGGAGGACAATTTGATTATATGTTGTATTGTTCTTGAGGCGAAATCAGGTGGAGAAATGCATTCATTTTGGAAATCTAATCAGTTTTAAACAGTTCGTTAAACGCTAACCGGAGATGTAAAGATAAAGAACTAGTTATATGAACTTTATTATTTGAGTAGATAGTATTGTCTTATATAATTTGGAATAAATTCATAACTCTTAACGAAATCATTACATTCAATCTGTAAACTTTACTGCCATTCATAACTTCTATCGGAACAGGAAATTAATTAAGTTTGACAGTTTTGAACAAGTTATGGCTGATCGCTTGAAACAATATAATCTGAATCAGCATTTAATATATGTCTCTAAATTTTAAAGCTATTTTGCTGTTGCAAGTTAACTTTAACTTAAAGTAACATTATTCTTTTCCTGCACATATGTTATAAAAAGCACTTGATTTTCTTGTTCTATTTGTTGTAGTTGTAGTCGTAGCTTTAAGCTGAAGGTGCGCTTAAAAGCACATAAATGTCAATGTTAGCCGCAAATAACTAATACAATCAGTGGCACACACACTCGCACACACACACCCTCTCGCACAACATGCATCCTCAGTTGCAGTGTCATAAAAATTGTGGCAGTAAAAGCCATGAAAACAAAACGTTGCAAGCAAAGGAAGGCAAGTTGAAAGGGGGAGCTGTTTAACAGCTTAGCTAAGCATTGTTGTTGTTGGTTTTGCTGCTATTGGTAAATGGCTGGGGCAACCACGTTAAGGTCAAAGTTCACAGCAAAAAGGATGCGCGCGTAAGAGAGACGTGTTGCAGTCCTGGGCAGGACACTAAGCTCGCACGTGAGGCGTAAATATTTATAATTCTCGCGTGCGCAACACAACATTGAAATACAACATTCAGGATTGAAGCTTAATGAGCTTAAGACACACACACACACACATCTGCGAGTATCCTCCTTGGCAAGGACTTGCCAAAAATATGGCATAAAACTTATAACTCTCTCCGCAGTATGTTATGCAAGGTCAGGGAATTAAACTTGCAGTTATTTGATTGATTTATTTGCTGTGTGCTTTACGTCATTCACTTCCATCACATTTTTTTTGTATAGCTATATATATATATTTATATATTTATGGTATAAATCTCTCTTAGTTGTGTGCAAAATCTAGCTTCCGTTTTGCCACAGAAAAACATTTGCAACAAATATCCACTTGGCATACAAATGCAAAAAATGCAAAATAAAGTCAAATAAAATAATAGAAAAAGGCAACAAAAAAATGTTTTGTGATCATTCAATTTGATTTATTTTTGCATATTTTTTTAACGTTTATTTTTGCCAACTGCGCACTTTGCCATATATTCCACTTGTTATCATTCGAAATTCCCAGTTCGTTTTATATGACGAATCAACTTGAATTTAAGTCCAAAAATTGTGAGCAGAGTAAAGTAAAAGGTTAAACTGGAATTTCTAAACCAAACCTTTTAATGGACTCAGAGTGGAAAAGAAGTTGTAGTAATGTGGTCCAAGGACTTCTCTGTAAAATGAAGGCTTTCTGAGGTAAGCTAGCTTGTGCTAATATCATAATCATCAATAAATCAGCAGGAAGGATATAATGTTCTTAATAGCATATGTTTAGCTGTTAACATAATACTTATTGTAAAGCTTTCTTTTTTTATTTTAAGAATATATCCAAATTCCTTTTCAGACAAAATTCATAAATAGAACCAACAAGCTAGCTCAATATTTTTTATGTGAAAAAGTTTGCCTCGTTTGACTCGTTGGCTTTCGTTTTTATTATTATTTCTTTGGTACCCTTTTTTTGTGTGTGCGTACTTTGATGATACGTTCTATTATCCTTTATGTATAACATTGATCTGTACGTAAAAAGTATCACTTTTTTGTTGCCTACTTATTTGGGGTTTAATATTCGGCTATCTTTAACTTTGTTGGCAGGCAACTGATTGAATTTGGCTTAGTTGCCAAGTTGCTAAGCTGACTCTCGCATTACGCATACGTCATGTGTGACAAGTGAGGCAATATGTCAAAAAGTGCCAGCAATCAATCAAAATGTTTGCTTTGATTTTGGCTTGCTAGCAGCTAGACAATAAATTGCACACCTGTTGTTGTTGTTGTTGGTGTTAGAAACTTACCTGTGAGTTGCTGTTGCTGTTGTTGTTGTTGTTGTTATTATTGTTGTATTGTTTAATTTCTTTGCTGCGAGTCGTTAATTGTTGATTGTGCTGCAAAATGAAAGCGCTGCGAGAGAAAGCCAAGAGCCAAAAGGCAGTTTGAGCCAAGGCAAACACGTCAAGCGAGTCTCTCTGTGTGTCTGAGTGTGTGTCGGTGTGTGTGTTGATGTGTGTGTGTGTGCGAAGGAAACAACGCACGTTCACGTCGAGCAGGATCCAGGAAGGAAACCGGCACAAGGCAAACAGACAGGAAAGCAAAAAGCGACAACGACAACGATTTGACGAGCGGCAGCCAAGGACAAGGATACTAAGGTAACAACAGCAATAACTATAACAAAAAGGGGGCAGGAAAAAAAAACGAAAAGAGAGCAATACTGAGAAAAAGAGACAGGGGGAGATAGAGAGACAAGCAGAGACATTCCAATAACAATGAGGCTGCCAAAGAATAGCAAAAACTTTTGCCAGGCTCTGCTTTTTGCCCAGTGCTGTGTGCCAGGACAGCGGAAGCTGGAATTAATTTTACGTTTCGCCTACGCTCGCCATGCAATGCAGCCAGTAGCTGGCAAGGAGGTGGGACAGGCCAAGGGGAGGATGGGTGGAGGGTGTGGCAGTCATTGAGCGGTAGGTCAGGTTGCCCCAAAAACTTTCTACAAATATTTGTCGACGAGCGCTCGAGTTCAAAATGGCTGAGGATCTCTTAAATATTTGGTACAGCAACTCAATTGCAGCATTTGTGGCAAGCACACATCTATATATATATATATATATATTTACTGTATAGCATATTTATATATATGTGTGCAGTAGAAATGCAAGGCTAACAAGAGAATAACTTTGAACATTTACATTTGGCATATTTGCGCCCAGATTTTTTTGTTCTGAAGTTAATCTTAAATTTTTCAATGAACCAAAAAAGAAATTTACGCAGCAATGGGAAGAATTAAAAGAAATTTCAGATTTAGTTTAAAATTGGAAATAGGAACTAACTTTGAACTAAATTCTATCATTTTTATATTTGGTGAATGGTATTTGAATATTTTTTCCTTATGGAAGTACTTAATTTAAGACATTATTTGTGCTCTTGATTAAGTCGTCTATAAAAATGTATAAATTTTTAAATATATTACTTTTTTTAATTTTGTTTAGTATCAAGATTAGACTACACTTATATTCGATTCCGAGAAATGCGACAAAATTGGATGCCATTAATAGAGCTAAAAATAATATTTATTTGTATATTTTGCTTCTTGTGTCCAATTCCAAGAAATGAAATCGAATGCTGTTTTGTAGTTTGAAGTTTGGCTAATTTGATGGTAATTGGAACCCACTTTGACAGAATAATAATAGCTGCTCAGACGATGGCTGGAAGGGAGGACAACTCATATGCTTTTGTTCTGTACCATGAGCTGCATCTTGAATTCAGCTGGCAAATAAGGTTAATTGAATCATGTCAGCCAAGGATGAGGACGACGAGGCTTTGTTGTGCAGGCTACCTTTTTTTTATATCATTTAACGCGCCACGTCAGTTGCCGTTTTAATTGTTTTAAAAATGTACTCTTGTTAAGCAGTCTGGGTGAGCAGAGAAGGAGCCGGAGCAGTTGGGGCAGCAGCAAGAGCAGGAGCACTAAGGACACGCGCACGCAATAAGGACAGCTGCACGCACAAATAACGCACGGATAAATATGAATACGTCGGAATTGGCTGCCTTTTTATTTATTTTTCACCTATTTTTTGTAATTTTTTATTCCTTCTTTTTTTGTAGCGTTTTAAAAAGCGATTTTAAAAAGAACGCGACTTACACAATTTTCAGAGAGCTTAAACGATTTTATTGCGAGTCGTGTTGTTGTTGCTGCTGTTGTTGTTTATAGTTGTTATAGTTGTTGCTGATTTTGTTGTTGTTGCTGTTGAGTTAGGTGTTAATTGATTGTTAGTTAACATGGAGCAACCACTTTGGCGCACAATTCGAAAGCAACTGAAAGCAAAATCAGCCAACAGCAGCGTCGGCAGCGGTAGCGGCAGCAGCAGCGGCCACCCACACATACAGCTTTTGCGTGAGCGCAGGCAAAAGCTGCGTTCCTATAAAAAAAGTTTATGGTGTGAAGAGTGGGCTCGTTCGCTCGCTCTCGCTCTCGCTCTCACTTGTACGTCGGCTGCGCTGCTTTTGATTTACAATTTGATTTACTAGCGTCGCCATTTTTTTTGGCAGAGCATGCGAGAGCTTTTTACGTGTAGGTGTTCTTGCTTGCTTGAGGGTGTGTGTGTGCGCCTTATTGTAAAATGGGTGCTTGAATATTTAATCGCTTAATTATGTGCCCTGTCTGTGTGAGTGCACATGTGTGACTATGTAGTGTGCACGAGATATGTTGCATACTTTTGTGGGCGTGCTAAAAACTTGGTGCGCGTATAAATAAACAATCCGTGGGAGCTGAAAGTAATCGCATCTAATTTACCAGTCATTATTCCTGAGTTCATTTATGCTGAAGGGGTTAATTTTTGGTAAACAATGCAACTGTTTTAGCTGAGATACTTGAAGTATATACTTTGTTTAAGTTTATAAAAGTAACTTCTTCAAGTGTGGAATGTAATATTTGAACATAAGGTTAACTGTAAAGTATTATGGGAATTAAAAATGAATTTTAGTTCATTTTTATAAAATTATGAACAATAACATGAGGAACAATTTTCAAAACTTTCTATGGTTCTACTTTATACTGTACTTTAAGTCGTAGCTTCAATTTTTTTGCCTATTTAAATTGGGAAGCATTTTATTGGCATAGTTGAACAAATTGACTTTAGCACATTCTGCGAAATTCTGCGAATTTTGCAAACAAGTGCGAATAACAGAATTGCTTGTGGTGGAAAGCTTTTCATTTTTAAAGGCGTCTTGTGCACTAGTTTCAATACATATTTAAATCTTTAAAATTGCATACAGGATGAATGGTACACAAGGAAATTAAGTTTTAAACATTTCAAAGCCCAAATGGATTTTATTAAATATTTTATTATTATTATTTGTTTGGTAGTTAGACTTTAGAATTCCGCTGTTTCATTTTGATTTGTTGTTTGTCTTAAAAGTGTCAATATTTAAAATATTTATTTAAAATATTTCTTCTAAATTTATTTAGTTTACATTCTATTATATATTTTACATTATGCATGCTCTCAGTTTTCATTAATTTAAAATAATTCAGCAGTCTCTGCAAACTCTTCTTCTTTTAGGAAATCTCTCTTTGGCTTTTTCTGCTGCTCTTAGAAAATGCATGTAGCTGTGTGTGTGCGTGCTTTTTCAGTAGTGCGTGTGACCTTCAACACATGATGAAAAAACACACACACATATGCGTAGACAAGCACACACATTCACACCTCTTCCAGCTGAGGCATAACAAGCTGCTGCAGTCGCAGTCGCTGCTGCTGCCTCGACCTAGACACTGAAAGCGTCATTGTCGTTGACGCTTGCGTTACTTTCGCATGCAAAAGAGAGAGAGAGAGAGAGAGAGAGATAGCGAGTGAGAAAATATACTAGAGTGTGAGCAGTTTGAGATGCTGCGCTCTCTCTCTTTCGATGCATATGTTAAAGCTTAGCGAGAGCGCTTCGTGAATCCAACGGGACAATCTCTCTCTCTCTCTCCCTCTCTTGCTCTCGCTCTCACTCTTATTACTGCTCTGCAACTTTTTGCATCTTGTTGCGTAGGCGTTTTAATAAAACTATAAGGCGATTATAAGAAAAGCAGGGACTATAACTGGGCGCAATGTAATAATAAATATTATAATAATAATAAGCATAGTTGGATATAATAACATCAAGCTTTGCGCATCTGTTTAACTAATTTTTTGATGTCCCTTTCCTTTCCCTTTTCTTTAAGAAGCCTCACAGCTGTTGTTGCTGTTGCTGTTGTTGTGCAAGGTTATGAATGAAAAGCTTTTTGCCGATTCGACTTCAGTTTGTCGCCCGCCCTTCGGCAACATTTCCGATTACGATTTCATCTTCATCGTCCTGTTTTTTTTATTATGGCTGGCAAATCTCAAAAGCTTCTGTTGGGTCGTACAGGAGAAAACCTTGACAACTTGTTAACAAGGCATTAACAATAAAATCGCAGTAGCAGCAGCAGCAGCTAGCTGGAGAGCTTTAAAGCTTGAGCTTTAACTGCTGCCAGCAAAATGATTTGATGATTGGGAGATTATTGTTGGTAATTGCGGGGGTGTAAATACATATTGATATTTATGTATTTGTACATACGCATAGATAAATACACATATTGAAACGTGTGGGTTGATATTGCCAGGCAATAACTCTTCAGCACGCTAATTGGCTTCACTTGCAACATGTTAAATGTTGAATGTAGACGAGAATTAAGTTTTGTCTTCATTTAAAAACTATAAATTGGTATTAGATGAGCGTTGGTGAGAATGAATTAAATCATTTTAAGTGAAATGATTTTCTAGTTGTTAGAAACCAAGCACCGAAGTTTTCTCTTAATTTAAAATCGAAATTAATTTTGGAGACGTTTGGTTTTCTGGCAAGTCTTAATTTAATCTGAAGACCTTCTGTAGCAATCTCAACTGTTGACTAAGCTGATCTAGTAAGCTTTTACTATTTTAACTGCGATCTCACACATTTGTAATCTAAGCTTTTAGCCTAAACACGAACCACAGTGGGGCTTTCATTAAACGATACTTTAAGAGCAATTCTTTGCTGAGCTTGCGCTCGCCTGCTAAAAGAGAGTTGGTTGTCTCTCTGGCAACAGAGGAGGCTTGCGCACAGCTGATCAATTGTTTGCCGGCCAAACAACAGATTGCACAACAGCTTAGCAACTGGAAATGGGTGAGGTAAACTGTGATCACTTGTTGGTCAAGCACATTGCACAAGAGCGTAGCAAAAGGCAAGAGAGACAGAGAGGCTAGCACGAAAATTTCTGTAGGGAGTAGTTAGAAGTGGAGATAGAACCGAAAACTTTCGTCGCAATAACTCTCTTTGCGGGACAAACTTTGAGAGCCGCCCTCGTCAATGTGCGCCTGTGTGTGCGTGTTGTGTGCGTGTGTGTGTGTGTGGATCGACCAATTGACGATCGACGACTCGACGACGCTCACAAATAAAAAGCCGCCTTTGCGAAAATCGCGCAGCCAGTTTGCATTTTGGCAGCAAAACAAATCGACGTGAAATTCTCGTGTGTTTTTTTTTCGCATTGTCATCGCGTGTTGATTCAGTTTGTGTTTTGTTTGTGTTTTTGCTGAGTGTTGAGAATTAATGCTTAAATCGAATGTGTCTAAAGTAAGCGCACTTAATTCAAGTTCGATTTAGGCCTTTGACTAAGGGACTAAGCACAAGTTATAAAAGTTGCAAATTGCCGATTAAATTACATACAAAATGAGCAACGAAAGGTAAAAATAACAACATCGAATAGATCAAATAAATTTATGTTAAACAAAAAACAAAAAAAAAAAACAAATGCACAGACAGCTAGTCACAATTTAAATTATTGTCTGTGTTTAGGCAAATTTCAATGTATCGACTTGAAACCGTGACTTTTTAAATACAAAAGGGAACAAAACCCGTTTTCCAGATCGTTTTTCATATCTGTCTGCTATCTACTGTCTGCTGTTTGTTTTGCTGCCTGTTGCCAGGCCTTCAAATCAAGTGTCCGCCCTGATTAGCAACACTGCATTGAACTTTGAGCGACCCTAAAAAACCCCCTCAAAATAAACAGTTGAGAGAAAAATGAAATAAAATACGATGAAATACAACAGCGAAGCAAATACTGAAATATTTGTTTTGATTTTAAGCATTTGACATTGTTTCGGCTAAACTTTAATCACTTATCGTTTTCGGCTTAATGGAATGCTTTAAGATTATTGCCTTATCATTTAAAATTTGGCTTTTGGTTACTTTCAAGTTGAACAATCATTTTCATTGCCATTACTAATTGCTTTGCCATCAGACACACAGTTAGTTGTGTATAAATATTAATTGAACAAACTGATATGATATCAATTCTACTGAATCAAAACTCGTGTTGAGCCAGTCAAAATCAATTGTTGTTGATAAATGAAGAAATTATTAAAAAAAGGTGATTGATTCAAATTCGATTTGATGACAGAGTTTTGAAGGTTTTTTTTTACTTTCAGTAAATTATTAATATTCCTAATGTGGTTTTTGTTACTACTTCTCCTTGTTAAAAATAATAATAATAATTCTTTTAATATTGTTGTTTTACTATTACTTCTGCTTCTCATTTAAAAAGATGCGGATGAACAGATTTCGTTATCTGATCAATATTTATATCGCATTGATATCATTTCCGAATTGAAGTACAAACAATCAATAAATCACAGTACTCAGTACATAAATATGTCAGGGCTAATTTAAAAGTAAACACATTGATAATATATATGTCGATAAGCAGGTTGTACTTTAATTGCATAAATAAAACAAGCAAATGAAAAATTAAACAGAGAAAGTTCTCCCACTTAATACTTAACAAACAATGCCAATAATTAAAAAACATTTAAATGTGGTGACTTGAACAGTAATACAATACATAATAATATAATGCATTAATAGTAATACAAATAAACCAATCAAATAAATAATAAAACAAACAGATAACATTTCAAATGCTGTTGCTTCCGAAAATGTTAATAATATATTTGGTGACCTCATTTTAGAATTTACATTAAGTACAGCATATTCAAAAGATTGTAGTTTATATTATTATATATTATATTATATTATATTAGTTGTAGTAATACAGAGATTAGCTATGTATAGACAGCTGATAGACTCTGTTTTTGCGATGAAAGATCAATAGCTGTTTATAGTCTACATTTCACTTGGACATTTTTGCCATATCATCGTTGACGGTGCAAATTGGTTAAATTTTTGAAATCCACAAACAAAAAGCATGTTCAAGTCAAAAGTACTGAGAACAAGAATTAATTGATTACAATTATTGACAACATTGTGAAATTCCATTGTGAAAAATTGTTATTGAAATTTATGGCAATTAAAGAAGACTTGTTAAATTTGGTTAGTTGATTAATAAACAAATTTGCCTAAAAATTGTATTACGTAGCGCGATAAGCTTTAGAGCTGAGCTGCTGTTTGTGATAAGACTTGAGTGTGTTGCATTGTAAAGTAGAATTTCCCACGCTAATTATTAACTTATCTTATCAACATTTGAAAAATATATGCATAACCAGCGCGTGGCTGTCATGACAACAATTGAGAGCCGCTAATGATGATGAAACCGATGCGTTTATTAATATGTCTAAATATACACAAATATACATATATATATTTATTTATTATTATGCTGATTGGGCGCCTCTGGGGTCTCTACTCGCATCTCTATTGATGCTCGGCTTAATTGGCACAATTTGTGACACAAAAATCGATATTAAAGTGCGCCCCCAGCTGTATTCTGACTGCTAGGCATTTATTATAAAGATCCGGTTGAAAATCTAGCACCAAAATAATGATTTCTCGTTTGTTTAGTTAGTTAGTATATATATAAATATATATATATATATTTGTATATGTTGTATTCTTAAACGTGCTTTTATCGTCGAATCTTTTTTGGTTTGGAATTCAGGTTTTTGAGTCCAAAAGTTCTTCTTTATGGTCTCTTTGTTGTTAACAATAATGGCATTCCATTATATTATTATTATAAATGAAAAACACATCATTAAACTGAAGTCATCAGATGCTTTTCCAGCACAAAAATCATTCAAGCAAAGCTCATATATCTTTTTTTAAGCTCTGGTTAAATGAGAGTGTTATTTTTTTTACCTTCACTGTTTTGGCTGCAGATTTCTTATCAATTATCTAATTTATACGGTCAACATTGAGACATTTTCAATTCACACTTGGTAACTGGATAAGCGACACGCGTTTCAACTTTCCATATTGCCATGATTGACATCAATCACGCCGTTTATTGATTAACATTCGTGTGATTCCTCAACTCGTGTTGTTTAATAATTGTCTGCTCTGCTTTAATCCATTGTGCAACGTTATTTGGACTTTTATTGACTGTTCAATATTGATTTTGGTACATTGAACCATTTGCTTTTTCAATACTTCCTGAATTTTGTGGTCGTTATTTATTGATCAAATTGAGTTCATTCTTTTTTGGAAGTTGTTGTTCTTCACAATCTTAAAATGCAGCTCACGCTTAAGCTAATTTTGGTGTGTTCAAAGTAAAGGTTAGTGTTCAATGTTAAAGATTTGATGGGTCCAAAAGATCAGTGACACATATATGTATATTCTTTTAAATATATAAGAAATGCATCTAAGAAGTAAAAATCACATTGTTCATTTTAAAAATTAATAATCAATGGCATGTATATAAACCTTAGGGGAGCACTTAATTAACTGATACAATTTCATGGGAAATATAAATATATTTTTGTTAGATAATTGTTTTCAACGGAACTTGGTGAATAGTTGAATTCATTTATAGAAAAAGTGTCACAAGCACTTCCTTATCATTAATTATGGACAGCCTAAAATCGAAAACAAAAAATAAGCCAAAACAAAAAGATGAATGTAAGGCAATGGGTGAATCAAGGTAAATTCAGTTTTTGCCTTGGCAACCAAAACTTTTTCGCACTACGCGGCTATTGTTCACCAAAGCAATTCAAACAAAACAAAACCAAAACAAAAAATCCAAATAATTATTTTCGCCAGGCAAAATAATTACAAAATGCAAACACCAAATGCAAATGCAAAAAATAAAAAATCAAAAATTTTACACTCAATTAGGCTAACCAAATAAATAAAGACGTGTGCAAATAAAAACGGAACGCTATCAAAAATACAAAACACGCAGCAAAATGCCGTTTGTTTTTGTTATTCCAATTTGTTATTATTATAATTCTTCTTTTTTTTGTTTGCTATCAACCAAAAAGTGCGAGAAATCCACAACAAAATTAACGCGGCACATGGCTTTTTGGCTTATGACGTATACGCAATGCTTGCCGGTTGACTAAATCGCTCTCTCTCTCTCACTCGTTATCTCTTATTATCACTCTCTCTTTCTCCCTCTCTCTCTCTCTCTGTCTGTCGTTCGATCTTACGCTCTCTAGAGAACAATAGAATTGTGCATAATTTATAATACCTGTGTGCATTAATCAAAACAGAACAGTTAATGAGAAAACCCCTTTGTTACGGGATTTATCGCTTTTTTACACCTTGATTGCCATTTAAACCAGTCGGTGTAGTATATATATAACACAGTACAGCTTCAATAACCCCAATCGAACCATTATAAATCCAGATTTCAGTGGAACTGAACCTAAATGAACTGTGCAAAGGTTTAAAGCCCTTCGCAAATGATTTTTGAAAGTGTACTTATCAATTTCATTATTTTAAATAATAAAAAAATTTCATTAAATGTATATATTTGTTATTGTTTATATCGGACAAACATGATTAAGATCGGAGCAATGTATAATACTGCTCTTAATCGGTCACTTAACTTTTCTGCTTCTCATCAGTTTATTTTCGCAAAATTTTCCACCCAGCAATTGTTAAATATGGAGCAACATTTATTTACTTTCTTTTATGTTCTCTTTTCTTTTGAAATTCCTGACTCTCATTTTGTGCTACTTGTTATATGATCATCAAGTATATGCATATGTATATATATGTTATACAACTCTGATGTCGTAGCTTATAAGCAAAATGCGAACAATGACAAAACAGTTGCCATGCTGCTCAATTGATTTTATTCAAGTGTTTAATTGTCGCTTGTTTCATTCCAGAGATGAGGATGAGTACAGTAAATTTGTGCCACAAAAGATGTCATATCATGTGGTGCCCGGCGCCGAGTTCCAATGCAAGGTGCCCATGTCCTCCTCCAAGGCTCTGTGCATGTCGATGCCACAGAGCCGCAAACTATCCACCATCGATGAGCAGGACTACGATGCAGCCAATCGGCGGGGCATAATTAATCAGGTAAATAATCACTATTCGTATAAATGTGTATGCATCTCTTAATTCCTGGCTAATTGTGCGCAGCTCATTATAACATTTCTGGGAACTGGGAACTACTCTCGACAACAGCAATTCAATTAGCAGCAGCCTCATATTGCATCATTTCCTCTCAGTTGCTGCCACAGTTTCGTTGAGTTTTGTATTTTAAGAGCGCAACTCGTTGGCTCTGCTCTCTCTTTTATGGCAACTTTTGTTGGGCTGTCCTTGAAAACGGGAGTGCAGCAGGACACCTGTTGTTGTTGTTGTTATTGTTGGGGATGTCGTTAAAAATATTCAACAGAGCTTCTCAATTTATGCAGCGGCGGAGGAGTTATGACTTTGTTGCTCTTTTGTTTCCAAAAATGATATGGACTCTGCATTAGTCGGACTTTGCCCCACAATGACTGACCACAAAACTGTTACTGACAGCTGGCAGAAGCAATGAAATAAGTAACTTTGATATGTAGAAGACAGCCATATAATAATAGATAGTAACAACATTTACTAGTTGCGGTCATCACACTAAAATAATTACATTTACAATTTTTTTGATGGACTTTGGTTCAAAATATTAGTTGCACCTCACGAAAACGTAGAAGTTTTTATCGTTTCTAGGAATGAACAACCTGAACAGATTTCCACGAATTTTTTGAGTGTTCTTGTGGAAAATCTGACAGCAATATTGTTTGCTGAAGCAAAAGTAGAAGTTAATAAGTTGATAAGCTCATAAATTATTTCCTTAATAACCGTCTATTTTATCAGGCATAAAAATGAGTTGCAAAATCGAAAATTTTCATAAAACAAAAGATTTGTTATTAATTTTTAATTGAGGAATGCAGTTAAGATATGATTATTTAGCTGCTCACTTCACTATTTTGTCTTAAACACAGAAGGTAGATTTTTACTTAGTCTTTTGCGCCAGCAGCTACTAACCACTAAATAAGTCAGTATCTTTGGTTAACATCGTCTGGAAACATTTCATAATTGTAGTAATAGCAATTTGTACTATCTCTGAGCCAACAAGACTACCTATAGCAGGCATAATATTTATCGTGGCTACAAATTGTGAAGGACAAAATGATAAGATACGCAATTGAACTTTCTTCGCATGATTAGAAACAAATGTGGCACTCATGTGGTGCACACATGTGACGCTGATGTGTCGCGAATTGAGCCAAATCAAATTCGATGCCAGGGCAACAATATCAGACTGACGTCACACATATATATACATATATATATATATAGATATTGACTGAGCAAGGCAAGGTTCGTGCTGACTCGGAAAGAGATCGTCCATCACTATTTGCCTCGATTGAAAGCACAAGGGTTCCACTTGCATGACATCCTCAGTTGGCTGCAACTATTTATTTATTTTGTTTTTTTGCACACACGCCAATTTGGATTTAAATGGAAAAGTGTCGCAATTTCAATTGCCGGCAATTACTCACTCAGCAAAAAGTCACGTCTCTGCATTCAATAAATAACCAATTGTTTTCATTTGTATACTGTTTTTTTTTAATCATTTCTGATTTGCCTGCGTTTGCTGTGTCTTGCAGATTTTAGCTACTTGTGCGGTGTTGCTGCTTTCCGCAGGATGTGGCATGCCCATTGGCTACTCGGCAGTGTTGCTGCCCCAACTCAGCTCCAATTCCACCGAGGTGCCCATAACGGTTAGCACGGGCTCTTGGATAGGTAAGCTCATCAAATATATATATATATATATGTATATATATACAGCTTAGTACGGCACCCCTGGACCCATTAAAAATTTGAAAAATCGATATATTGATTCAAACCGATTTGTGATGGCAATAAAAGACACAATTTTAAACATATAGCTTACCGATTGATAAAGAATTTTACATTTTTATTTCGCAATCGGTTCTATATATATTTAATAAGGCCAGGCAGAAAGCATGTTAACAGCCCCTTGCACCTCTGATTCGAAGAGCTTGCAAGTATCGGCCAATCTGGAATCTCTCTGGCCCGGAGAAACAGAAAAACTATATTCAAAATCTTAAAAATTCAGCATATTCTTAAAACTGGGATTATAAGTGAATTTTCATACATTTAATTATTGAAAGCTGATTGATAACTTCCTTGGCTATCATATGTTCTTTATTTAAATGTATTAAATATAAGGATTTATAATTTGTTACTCATCGATTAACCATATGCTTTCTACTTTTCCCATTACAGCCAGCGTTCATAGTTTGGCAACACCAATTGGTTCACTTATGTCTGGGCCCCTTGCCGATTATTTGGGTCGTCGCAAGACGCTCCTCGTATCGGCAATACCCCTATTTTTTGGCTGGAGCACCATGGCGATGTCGAACTCTGTGAAGGCCATAATATTTGCGCGATTTCTGTGCGGCTTTGCAACTGGCATTCTAGGCGGACCGGGTCAGGTAAACAAATAGAGAAACAAAATAAAATAGATAAGGAAATAAATAAATAAATAAATAGGTAACCAATGCCAGAGCCGAAAAAGTTCATTCACACAAAACCGAGAACGAAATTAAGCAAGAAATGCGACTCAGAATTTGTACAACTGACCCATTAACCAGATTTGGGATTGTATAATCAGCACGGCCTTGAACCCGGTGGGACTAGGAAACTAAGAAAGATGCACATCAAGCTGTCAGTTAAGCTGAAGCTGGCTGTCAGCTTTGTGGCAGGCTGGTCGACTGTCAATTGTTCGCTTAATGTTATTATTCCGAGACGAGAACTCGACTGCTCCATTGTGACTATATAATCAGCTGTCAAGTGTGCAACAATTTGGCACAACCGGCTTTTTTCTTCATGTTCTACACACACCACACACATCCATGCTATGTTTGTGTGCTTAGTATATATGTATACAGTTGTGTGTTTATTTATCTTATGGATATGTCCGTGACTTATCAAGCGGCCAAAATGATAACGAAAGCAGTCGTGTTTGTCATCATTTGAATTTAGCAAAAAAAAAATACAAAACGCTTCCCGCACTGCTTTGAGCATAGTTCCGGATTCTTGACCTTACTCTATAATAAGTTTGTTGTTGTTGTTTTTGTTGTTGTTGCAGTGGGTGGCTCACTTGGATTTCCCCATCAACAACAACAACAACAACAATAAACCTTTCATTCATATGCTGTTTCTTGTGTCTTTTTTGCGCGTGTCTCTCGATTCATTAATTTAGAAGAAGATTTATGAGTTTATGATTATGATTAAGATAAAGATAAAGATTTAAGTGGATGCTGCTATATGCTGACCCTGTTTGTTGATCAAATTGTTTGTGTTGCTTTAACATTAAGGGATAGTTATCGTTTTGCTGTCTGTCCGTGTCTCTCTCTCTCTCTCTCTCAGTCGTGTCTGTCTGTCTGTCTGCCTGTCTGTCTGTTATCTGCCGCCTGTGGACATTTCGAGAACTTGTGCGAGGTCAAGGTTTCTTAGTTGCTCTTCTAGGAATTGTAGTCAAGAGTTTATTTTGATATTTTCTATATAGAGTGCTAGCTATAAATGACTTGTGGGGGCAGCTAGCATATTGGGTGGATTGGTGATTAGTAAGAGATTGTCGAGACTTAGTTTGCCAAAGATAAATGGATGTATTCATCCATAGATATTGAAAGATGAAGAAAGTCTGAAACACTTTTCGTAAGCCAAGATAGATGCAAGTCTGACTGACCCTTTATGTGACTCAATAGTTGACAATTATTAATAATTTACTTTAGGCACTCTCCTATATTTGCCAGATTTGAACTCTGCATAGTTAGGAAATATATATATTTATCCAGACCTGATTGTCAACGGAAATTTACCAGTTCCAAAAGCGCTTTTTGTGAATGAATTTCGAGTCTGAATCGCATACACAACTTTAAAAATATAGTAGCAATCGAGAGCTCAATCCATATCTATAAAGACATTGACTATCGCTTTCAAAAATCTGAAATGAATATCAATTAATTACACTTTCTCTCTTCCGATCTCTATATCTCATTTCAGGTGTATATAGCGGAAACAGCTGAGCCAAACTTGCGCAGTCTGTTGATCGGTGCTCCTTATGTGGCATATTCGTGTGGCATACTCCTCGTCTATTCGCTGGGAACGTTCCTCTACTGGCGCACTGTGGCTTGGTGTGCCAATATTCTGCCCGCTCTCGCCATGCTGGCCATTTTCTGTATACCCGAATCACCCATGTGGCTGTTGCGCAATGGACACGAGAAGCGATCGCTGAAGGCGCTGACATTCCTGCGAGGCAGCGAGATTACCGCCCAGAAGGAAATCAACGACATGAAGCATCGGCTGAACAATGAACGTGAGACAACCAAGACAAATGAGAACATCTTTAAGCTATGCTGTCAGCGTGTGGCAATGAAACCATTGTTCATTGTTATTGTCTTCTCGCTGCTGCAAATGTTCTCGGGCACATTTATTGTGATCTTCTATGCCATTGATATTGTGTCCGAGTTTGGAGCGGACTTTGATACGAGTCAAGCAGCGATTTGGACGGCTGCGGTGCGTGTGCTTTGTTGCATGATCTTCTGCGGCATCTTGCTTTGTGTGCGTCGTCGCCTCATCATGCTGATCTCGGGCATTGGTTCGGGACTCTTCTGTCTGGCCCTCAGTGTCTTTATGTATGTGCGTGCGGGGGAGCCAAGGATGCCCTATGATATCCTCGTAGCCGGTGGCTGTCTTCTTGGCTACATAGTCTTCAATACAGCGCTGATGGTCATGCCGGGCATTATGATTGGTGAACTATTTCCGGCAAAGATACGAGGACGCACGGCGGGCGGCGTTTTTGCTTCAATGAATGTGGCACTGTTCATTTTTGCTAAAGGTTTTCCCGCACTGCAAGCGTATTTGAAAATGCGGGGCGTTTTTCTCGTCTTTGGCGTTTCCAGTTTTCTGCTGACGATTTTCATGTGTCTATTTCAACCGGAAACAAAGGGACGCAGTCTGGAGCACATTGAGGATTACTTTAATGGCAACAATTGGCTCTGGATTCGACGTGATCGTGGCTATAAAACGGTCAAGTTGCTGCCACTGCAGCTGGCCAAGGATCCTGGCAACACAAATCAGGCATAATTGGGTGGGATATTATGGCATTTAATTAGCTTTTATACAGGGGCTCACTGAGATTCCATAGCGTTAATTAGTATTATATATAAATACATATATGAGTAGGAGTACCTCGTAGTCGTAAATATTTTAGTGTTCCTTACTTTCACTCAATTTCTGTTAATTTTACCAATGTGATGTTTGCAATTACGCATTAGCTTTTTAATAATAATATGTATGCATTATCTACATGATTAGTAATACAATAAAATGTTAGAAATAAAATAATCAATTTTTGATATTCTCTTTGGCGCCAATGTACCCATGAAATGGCACAGCCAACTTCACGTGTGAAGCCTGCTCATATCGTTATCGGCTGGCCACCGCATTTTAGTTGCTGCTCTTTGATTCCGTTTTCAAATGAGTCTGCTTGTGAATAATTATTAAAATTGGCTTGGTATTTTTTTCGGATAGTTGTAAAATTTTTCCATATATAATTTTTACAAAAACAGGTTGCCAGATGAACAGTTTTCGTTGTTTTCGTCAAGTAAACTAATATTGACCGACCGCCACAAACTAATTTTGTGTTCGTTCAGTATTATCGTTAAGTGTATCGGTTATGCGAAAGCTCTGTGGAGCAAAAAGCTTCGACGCGCGCGTGAGCAGCTTTTAAATTTAAATTCAAATCGTGTTCGTTTATTTTTTTTATATTTATTTTTTCTTTTTGCTGAGTGAACTTTTAAGAAGTAATAATCAAGAGTAAATGGTCTTAATACCCAAATATGCAATTTACTGAATCTAAAGAGTATTTCTGCTTATTACCATTAGATAACAACATTTTGAATCGGACATTCACCTTGCATCTAATTGCACACAAGGTCCGTTTGGATTACATGCATTAAAAATGGCCCGAGTGACTTTTAATTTTTAATCGACTTTACTGTCAGAGTAGTTGAGCTAAACTTTGAAATTAAAAAAAGGAAGAAAAAAGATAGAGTGCAGTTGGAGAAGGAGTCGTCCATGTATATTTAAAATTCTATTATTTCCATCAGTCGTTGGGGTTCTTTGGTTTTTTTTTTTTGCTGCCCGAACTCAGTGCTAATAAATTGTATAATTCTTTTTATTTATTTGTGGTTTCTTTTTTTGGTTTTTTTTTTTGCTTGTTTTGGCTCGACAAACTTGTGCGGTGTATTTTTCTTGTGCATGCCTTTGTGTAGGTGGTGCGAATAAGTGGGTTAGGGGCAGGTTGATGGGTTAGGTGCATTTGCAACTAGCTGGAGTGCTTGTTGTAAAGGGGGGTGGGGTGGGTAGGGGTGAATTGCTGCGGCATACCCGAAACGCTTCAAGTTGCTGAGCTCATTCGCCTCTCTGCGATTTGTTGGCATTTTAACGCGCTCAAACGCCGACCAACAAGTTGGCTACACATTGGCATGTGCGTAGCTATTAGATACCCTGTAAAAATAAGTATTAAAGTTGATATACATTTAGACACATTTGACAACTTGTGGTTTGTGCGAAATTTGTTGTTTTCATTTTTGATATTATTATTTTTTATTTGAGTCTCTCAAAAACTGTTCTTTAAATTTCTACTAAAATTATAAAAGTCTACTAGATCGTATACCCTATTAGCTAATATTTACAGGGTATAACGACATGGCCAGCAATAATTGCACAGAGCTTCACGTCAGCTGAATGCTGTATGGATAAGCGAAGGAGGGAAGAGGGCGGGGCCAGGGAGGAGATGGCGGAAGGCGTGTTGCCTGCTCATGCAGTGATAAATGAAGTTTTAGTGGCTTTTGACCCATTTAATAAATTGTTAAAGTTGAAAATTGTGTGCAAGAATATTGTAAACTTTTGCACAGGATAAATGCATACAAATATATATTTATATATATATATATTCGACCAATATATATACATATATAAACTTGTTACCAGTTGCAGTTGGAATTAGGGTTAATTTAAAAGTTGCCATTGCGCCGCTTTGCAACACTGACTGACCCATGGGCAACGAGCGCAACGAGTTGTTTTTGTTGTAAAGTTTTTGCTGTTGCCCCACTTTTTTGTTGCAGTCAAAGTTGAGGAATTTTAAATAATTCTGTTAAATTGCATAATTTGCCCTGTTCTGCTGCCTGCTCCTTCCTTCCCCCTCCCACACTGTATCCTGTTACAAAGTTGAAACTTGGCTGGTTATTAAGTTAGCGGCGACAGTTTTCAGTTAATATGATTATGCGTCGCTTTTAAGTGTAATTTTTATCTACTCTTTGCCTTTCAACTGATAAACTAGCTGCAAATATGCACAATAAGCATGCTCAAGCTGCACTGATAAAAAAATGGCAGTGAGAGAAAGTAATAGAGTAATAGAGATAATAGATAAATACTTGAAATATTTAATAAAAATACTTTAAAATGTTGGGAACATTTTTTTGAAGTTTTGATATAAATAATAATTACAACTATGCGTTAAACTTGAATCTCGGAATATAAGAATGAGTTAAAGTTTATTTTTCTATCAATTGCTGATTATGTATATATAAATGCTCTTTTTCTATATTATATACTTTATAATATTGGTCTCTGGTTCATAGCAAAATTATTGTTGAGTTAGATTTACGTGAGTATTTTTCAAGTTATTATGTTTTTTTTTTTGCGTGTAGAGCGGATGAAAGGGACTTGGCGGGGTTATGACATTCTTGAGCCGCAATAAGCAGCATCAAGAAGGGTATTTGGCCGAAGCAGGAGAGTATATTAGAGCCGCAGCTGAGCACAAAGATCCTTGCCAAGCTGACTAACTTGCTGGCAGGCAGGCAGGCATGCAAGTCCTTGTCATATCTATATATTTGTTTCTTATAACTATATATCTATGTGTGTATTGCATGCAGCTAGCTATATAAACAATTTTCTATTATGCAAAAGATAACAAGCTAAAGAACAAAAACAACAACAACAACAGTCGTAAGAATAACAACTACAATGGATTTTTGCATAAGAAAGCACAACTGAAGTTGAAATACGGCCAAAGCCGAAGCAGCCAGGCTGAGACCAACCCTCTCCCACCTCCATCCACTTCTTCCACCCCTCCCCCTCCCAATAACTCTATTCCTGCATAAAAATAAACCGTTTGAAATAGGTTTTTCCATGTGATTCGAGCGAAATTTAAAGAAGTAACATTAATTTGAAATGCAGAATAAGTTGTTTTGCTGCCATGTTTTGTAGAGAAAGAGATTCGCTCAAGATTTCCAAGTGGAAAACGTTGTGTTTGCTGGTAACATTTATAATTGTATTTTAAACAGCCGCAAATCAAAAGCGTTTTATTTTGATTTTATATACTTGCAGAGCTTCTTATAATTTTGTCTGCTTGACAGATTGATAGATTGAAGTTCTCAGCTATTTTAATATTGCTCTGTTAAACTTCGTGGCAATAGCAGATCAATATTGCTGCCGGGAGTAGTCAATTCAAAGACTGCATTTATTGCATATTTATTTTAAATATTCGATGCTTAAACCCAAGTTTGCTCTTATTTTGTCTGTTGCTGTTTTGCTTCCTTAAGAAAATTTGAATATCGAACTGTACTCTAAAAAAAACAAAACTATTTCACTCAAAAGTAAATAAATGAAAACGAATTCAGATACCAAACAAATATTTTAGTTGAACTGTTTTGGCAACTTATTAAATGTATTTCTGCACTTTGCTCGCATCACAAAAAACTTTTTTCGAGATTGTTTTTAAGACTTGTTAACTAGAAAGTATTTGAAAATGAGCTAATTGCATGTCGAAAATTAGGTTCTTTCTCCTCTCTCTCTCTCTCTCTCTCTCTCTCTCTCCCTATATCTTTCTCTTTCTCTCTTATTATGCAACTTGATCGCAGTTGTTGCTAACTAGCTGTTGAACCTGAGGTTACCTTCACGACCCAAGTCAATGCAAATGGTGTAGCATGTTGCGCACTAATACTAACACAAACATTAATAGAAACACACACTAATACACACAGCAGGATGCACACACACCTACACACACACACACACACACAGAGACACACACACATATAGAGTATATTGTAGAGGCAAATTTTGCAAATAGAAGCCACAAGAACATCACAGACGGCACTGAGACGCGCCCAAGCCACAAACACTGTATATAATGCTAAGCAGCAAGCCAGCAACTCCACATATCCACACTCCTCTCCTTGCCACACACACCCCCACCCCCATAACCAACCGCTCTCTGTGTAATCTTTGCTGGCTTGCAACAGCACAGAGGATGAAGCAAAAACGCAGTTGTCGCTGGCATAGCGAAAAGTGCTGAGCATAAATAAGACATTTGCGTGTGTTAGCACACACACACACACACACACACATACACACACACCCGCATACACACACACACACACACACACACCCGCATACACACAACAACAACAACTTGAAATAACTCCACACGAAACATTGAAATGTGACAACAAGGAGCAAGGCGCCACAAACCGCAGGCAATGTTATACACTAATCGAAAAATACTTGATTTTATTTAAATTATTTAACAACTTTCTGCATATTATGAGAAACATATTATACATATCAAATTATTTGAAAATGGGTTTAAATGTATTTAAAAACATATTTAATATGTCAGCTAAACTAGTTTAAAAGATTCGCTTAACAATTTTACACAGTAAAAAACAATATGTTGTATTGTAAAAATATCTCAATCTCCTTCTCTGTCTCACTATATCTCTCTTGTTTTCCAATATCTCTCTCTTTCTCTCTGTCTTTCAATACCTATTTAAGCTATTTTTTTCACTGTGTAGACTGAAAGACAATAATTTCGAAACTGCTTTGAAAGCAAAGTCGCCAGCAAAAGTAATGCAAAATGCAAAGTCATCGCTCGCACCAACATCCAGCCGATCCGCCTACACCAGCACACACGCACACACACACACACACACAATCACACACCGAGTGGCAAGTGTAGCAGCTCCACCCGGACAATTGTTGTGATTTCTTTCTTATTCTGCATTTGGTTTGTTTTTTTCATTTCTGTTTCTGTTTCTGTTTCGAGTGCGGGCAGCTCGTGCACATGCATTTATTTAAATTCCTTACTCAGCCCCAGTGTGTGTGTGTGTGTGTTGGGTGTGTGTGTGTCTTGCCTCATTTTGCCAATGTATTCATTGTCTGTGAAATTGTTGTGCGGTATGCCGGCGCATAATGTCTTTCTTTATGCCATGTCCTTCAGTCAGGGTCCACTCCCACACTCCCACGCTCTCCACTCTCCGGCCCTCATCCTCTCA